TTCAGAGCTCACAGTGGGGTTTATTATCTTCCAGCCAAAGAAAACAAATAAATAAAGAGTACTAATATATAGGAAGTCACTTTAATGGGAGCCTGCTGTGACTAGCTTCCACAGTTTACATAGCAAAGTGAACCAGACAGTGGGGCTAATTATTCTCTTGCTGTGGATTAACCTGTTTAGTTCTCAGACCTTACTAACATCAAACAAAAATAATAGCCACCAGTCATAACGGGGACTGGGATGCCTGCATCCCACTGAAAGTCAAGTAAGATTTAAGCACCTTAATTGCTTAGGCTTTTTTGAAAAGTATACATTTTGTTAGTTCAGAAATTAAGGCCAAGATTTGCTAAAGGGACTAGGGATTTTGGATGCCCAATTTGGGGGTTCCCAACCTGAGATATTTTATAGGGTCCCCCTTAATGGCTGCGTACCTGCCTCCTGAAAATCAGCCTCCTTAAAGTGTCTCAGTTTGGTCAATCAAAACCTGAAGCACACTAGCTGCTTTTGAAAATGTTGGCCTAAGGCTGTATGATTTTACCAAGTTATATAGCTTCCCACTGCTTTCTACAGCGACCACCTCATGTCAGCTCAATTCCATTGAGCCCAGTATGTCATTTTAAAAAATAATTAATTTGAATGTCATGTTCATGGCAGATGCTGGTTTGACAACAAGTTGCCATTTTTGCAGAGGACAGGGACAGCACAAATAACGTTAGGACAAGCTTCTCCATAGGTCCTGCCAGTGTACCTCAACCTGTTCCTAGATATGCCTGTCACCTTAGGGGTGGATCTACACTGGAAAAATTAATGCTCACCTCACAGCAATAGAAAACAATGTTGCAGCTCCACTTGTACTAAACCACTAGCACAGACAGGACTCAAGCAATTTTACCAGGTTTTCAAGACATGAATGTAACACAAAGCAAGAGTCCTAGCAACACTAGCATTTACATTGCTACTAGCTCTAATGCAATAGCTGCACCATTAATGGAAGTTGCAGTCATTTTTCTAGTGTAGAAAGGCCTGCCTAGTGGTGAGAAAAAAATTTAGTATCCAGGCTAAAACTGTTAACAAGTGGCATCTTTTGTATTGTGGACACCTTTCTACTGGCAACAAGATAAAGGCCATCAAATTAATTTCATAGAGGACTCCAAATCGCTCTGAGATGATAACAACTTTCATGGGTCAGCTAGTCCCATGAAATGTTCATTTTCAAATCTCTCCGTTTAATTTCCACTAACAAATTCATTATTCAAAAAGGGTGAGGGATCAAAGATGCTAATATTACGATTGGTTTGAAAGGTATATTTCCCACAAAGGTGACAAATTATATACAACAATTTACTCAATTTCTGATCAAATCCTCATCTGAGTATACAATATGTCACTTCTGTTGTCTACTAAGAGGTCTGTTTTCAGAAGAGGGTACATTTATTACACTATAGAAGGAATGAGCATGAAATTAAGATATACTGCAATTTATGAATATTACAGGTTTTAAATATTACAGGGGTTGCTGCTTTGTTAGTTTCAGGAAGTCACATTTGCAGGACAATGAAAACCAAAAGGGGAAACAATCAAAAGGAAAATGTAGTTTAAAAAACAGAGTTTGCTGGAACAAGACGTGATTCTGCAGAGAATTGTGTTTCTATATTGCCACTGAACCCCTAGAGAAAACAAAGTCTGGGGGCCCTTTATGCTTGTCTGATCCAAAAAGAGATCTATACATTTGCAACCGTCAGTGTTCACTTGTATTTTAAATGAAATAGAATCACTCAAGCGGGTTGATCATCAGGCCTGTGGATAGCATGAACAGTGATAGTGTTGATGCTCTATAATGTCAGGCAGAAGAATTAGATCTGAGTAAGGGTCCCAATACCTTGGTCTCAGGACCAAGATAAGCCCTCATCACCTTTGAGAGAAGGATTACCGAACATCTTTCATCAGTGATTCCTCTCACCTGGAGAGCTATCTCTGAGCTCTGAACATCAAACCCTTCAGTGCCCTTTAGTTAGGATGGTGGCTGTATTGTGAGCCCTGAAGGGGATGTAAGTATCTTAGCAATGTGCTGATTCTCAGGGCCCCAGCCAGGTCATGGAGAACTATGCTGTAGGAGTGGAAGTTAATCGATATATACATACAGTGCTTTTGTGGAATTGTACTGAGCACATTTATTTCTGGCTTTCTGATATACAGGATTTGACTGTAACTTCTGTCTGGATGAAATGGAACTTGGATTTTATTCAGATAAAGAGATTTCAGATACACAGGGGACTTTTCAAAGCAAATGGTATGTGTGGGACGACATAACAATTACAGGTAACAGGTCTTCTTGGATCAGAGGTAGTTGGATCCATAGGATTCTGCGGTGATGAAAAACAACTTTCAGTGAAAATACTTGCCAGTCACAGAAGAGACTCAAAAGTCTTTACAGTCTGGTTTGGAGAAAGACTCAGACGTTCACATGCTTACCTAAACTCCCCATTTCCTCACTCCATAGAATCATAGAATCATAGAATATAAGGGTTGGAAGGGACCCCAGAAGGTCATCTAGTCCAACCCCCTGCTCGAAGCAGGACCATTCCCAGTTAAATCATCCCAGCCAGGGCTTTGTCAAGCCTGACCTTAAAAACCTCTAAGGAAGGAGATTCTACCACCTCCCTAGGTAACACATTCCAGTGTTTCACCACCCTCTTAGTGAAAAAGTTTTTCCTAATATCCAATCTAAACCTCCCCCACTGCAGCTTGAGACCATTACTCCTCGTTCTGTCATCTGCTACCATTGAGAACAGTCTAGAGCCATCCTCTTTGGAACCCCCTTTCAGGTAGTTGAAAGCAGCTATCAAATCCCCCCTCATTCTTCTCTTCTGCAGGCTAAACAATCCCAGCTCCCTCAGCCTCTCCTCATAACTCATGTGTTCCAGACCCCTAATCATTTTTGTTGTCCTTCGCTGGACTCTCTCCAATTTATCCACATCCTTCTTGAAGCGTGGGGCCCAAAACTGGACACAGTACTCCAGATGAGGCCTCACCAATGTCGAATAGAGGGGAACGATCACGTCCCTCGATCTGCTCGCTATGCCCCTACTTATACATCCCAAAATGCCATTGGCCTTCTTGGCAACAAGGGCACACTGCTGACTCATATCCAGCTTCTCGTCCACTGTCACCCCTAGGTCCTTTTCCGCAGAACTGCTGCCTAGCCATTCAGTCCCTAGTCTGTAGCTGTGCATTGGGTTCTTCCGTCCTAAGTGCAGGACCCTGCACTTATCCTTATTGAACCTCATCAGATTTCTTTTGGCCCAATCCTCCAATTTGTCTAGGTCCTTCTGTATCCTATCCCTCCCCTCCAGCGTATCTACCACTCCTCCCAGTTTAGTATCATCCGCAAATTTGCTGAGAGTGCAATCCACACCATCCTCCAGATCATTTATGAAGATATTGAACAAAACCGGCCCCAGGACCGACCCTTGGGGCACTCCACTTGATACCGGCTGCCAACTAGACATGGAGCCATTGATAACTACCCGTTGAGCCCGACAATCTAGCCAGCTTTCTACCCACCTTGTAGTGCATTCATCCAGCCCATACTTCCTTAACTTGCTGACAAGAATACTGTGGGAGACCGTGTCAAAAGCTTTGCTAAAGTCAAGAAACAATACATCCACTGCTTTCCCTTCATCCACAGAACCAGTAATCTCATCATAGAGGGCGATTAGATTAGTCAGGCATGACCTTCCCTTGGTGAATCCATGCTGGCTGTTCCTGATCACTTTCCTCTCATGCAAGTGCTTCAGGATTGATTCTTTGAGGACCTGCTCCATGATTTTTCCAGGGACTGAAGTGAGGCTAACTGGCCTGTAGTTCCCAGGATCCTCCTTCTTCCCTTTTTTAAAGATTGGCACTACATTAGCCTTTTTCCAGTCATCCGGGACTTCCCCGGTTCGCCACGAGTTTTCAAAGATAATGGCCAATGGCTCTGCAATGAATGGCTCTGCTCCACTCCTCTACCTTCCTAGGTCTAACCAAAACATTCCCTCTTTCCCTGGTCCTATATTTCCTTTGTCTTAAGTCCCAACTTTCTGTCTCTTACACTCAGACGATTTCCTATATCTTCCTGACACTAAAAAGCTCCCTAAACGCCAACAGACCCTCTACCTTTGTTGATATTCCATATGGAAGATGTTCTTGGGATTGGCACTCTTTCTACAAGGGTCCAGCTAGGTGTTCTATTGACATCTTGCATGCACCTGGGTTTTTCCAGGCTAGAGGGCACACAAAGATATTTTCTCTCATTATATCTGACTCCAGGAATTCAACTTCCTTTGCTCTCCTATAGTACCTTCCAATTAGAATTCAAAAAATACCTTACAAACAGTAATTGATCAAGCCTCGCAACACACCTATGAGGTAGGTATTATTATTCCCATTTTGTAGATGAGGAAACCTAAGCACAGAGAGGTTAAGGGACTTGGCAAAGGTCATATATCTGTAGAAGAGCCAGGAATAGAAATCAGATCTGCCAGCTCCTGTTGATCTTTACTTTAATGGAAGGTTTGATCTCACAAGGTTTAAGTACAGTATCTGGCCTAGCTGACCTTGCCAGACTAGCAGAGACCCTGATGTGTGAAGGTAGAAGGCTTGCTGGGAACTGGAAGCAACAGAGGAGGAGGGTACATATCCAAAGACTTTTTAGGCTAAAAAAAGTTTCTGTTCAAGTTTGGTGTCCTGGCTCACATTCAGACAGGCTCATCAATCTATCCCTAGTGATAATTTCCCTCCGTGTATATATGTTTCTGTGTAGTTGGATGCTCTGCTATAACTTGTCTGAATACGTGCAGATGTAAAATTAAGTTTTAATCTGAAAATTCAGTCTGAAAAATTCTACTATTATTGATAGAAAAGTAGAAACTAAATATTAAATGATGACAAAGTGGACAACTGAAAAAAATGGATATTCCTAGGGTACCATTTTGAACATAAAAAACAGACATGAAAAATTCCTCATTAAAAGATATTTTATGATAGTTGCTCCCAAAGGCATAGGAATAAATTACAGATACACCACTTCTCTGTTGCCTTTCCATTAGTAAATAATATTGTTGGTTTGTTTCAAAGTTTTTGTTCCATTGTTCCTTTGATTGATCTGGCCCAGTTCTACACATTTCATTTGCAACATAACCCTCACACAGTTCATTCATGAACCCCTAGCTCTGGGTTTGGTAGCCTCTGGATTAATTGCAAGAATATGGTTTCACACATGCCTTTTATTTAACTGTCAGGCACATTACCTGTCACAGATATGTGCATCTTAAATGTAGAACATTATGGCTCCTCTGTTTTTTTACACTGCAAAGAGGCAAAGCATCTTAGACCTTGTCTACACACAAACATGATATGGCTTTAACTATGTCAGAATAGTTCATGTGGTACAACGCCCCTAGTGTGGATGCAGTTATACCAGTATAACAGTGCTTATAGTGGCATAGCTTATTCCAGCTACATCTACACTAGAACCGTTTACCTGTAAAGGAATGCCAGTATACTGTACAAGCAAAGTGCTCTGAGGCCTGGGCTACATTGAAAAGTTATATCTACATCGGTCTGTCAGGGGGTTGAAAAACCACACCCCCGATGGACCTAGCTATGCCGACATAATCCCCAGTGTAGACACAGTTATGTTGATGAAAGAGGGCTTCCACCAACATAGCTAACTGCTCAGGGAGGCGGTGTTCCTACACCAACAGAAAAACGTCTTCTGTCAGCATAGGCTGTATCTGCACCGTGTCTGGCGATGGTGGCATAGGTATGTTAGTAGCATAACTCAAGTCGACATAGCTTAGATCTACTTACCGAGGGGTCCACACTATGCTATGTCAATGGGCGACGCTCTCCCGCTGACACGACTTCCACCGCTCCTTGAGGCGGAGTATGGAAATCGATGGGAGAGCGCTCTCCCATCGATTGAGCATGTCTTCACTAGACCCTCTAAATCAATGTTGCTGCATCAATTCCAGCAGCACCGATTTACCTCCAAAGTGAAGACAAGCCCATAGTCTCTGTACTGTAGTGATACCCCCTAGTGTGGATGCAGCTGTGCTAGCATAGGTGCACTCTGTCCCGATACAGTAAAACCACTCCCATGCGTGAAACAAACTATATGAGTAAAAGCAAAGCTTTGCCAGGATTGCTGTATTCACTCTAGGGGCTTCTCCTGACACAGCTATGTTGGTCAGGGATTCCACCTCTTCATACCGCAGACTGACATAGCTATGGCTGCAGATGTTCATAATATAGACATAGCCTCCTGTATAGGAAGAGGAATAAATTCTACTGGTATAAATATCCTTATGTTGGTATAACTGGCTTCCACACTATGGCTTGTACCAATATAATATCAGTAAATATTATATCCCCACCTAGTTACACTAGTACAAAACCTGTGTGTAGACCAGGCCATACTGCAAGTGCCTACAGTGTTAATAACCAGTTCACTGGAAAGTGTGAAGTACAAAAACTAGTGAAAGAAGATCATTCTTTCTCTGGCAATGCTTCACATTTGTACCTTGGTTTCCTTGGGGTGAGGGAGGCTGTGAGGGGAAGGAAGGAAAAGCCAGTATCAAAGAAATCTGGGTGCGGCCTGTTTAGTCTGATCTTTGGAGAAAACTTTGCAAGATGCAGAATGAATCCATCAATGGAACTCAAGTAGAAGTTGACAGCTTTACTGCTTTGTCCAAAAACTTATCTTGGCAGTGGAGGCTCTGTCTCCTTTCACACATTGTGCATAAAAGGAAGTGAAACAGTATTTACGGAAGTGATGTTTACGTTATGGATGAAATATCTGAAGCGCAAGGTGAAATTCTTCCCGCCTGCATGCAGCATGTCACTCAGCTTCACCACAAATTGCAAGGGCAGCCAGGAGTTTCGCCCTGCTTCCTTACTGGTGAGAATAAGAACGTGCTGTTCTAGCAGGTTTCCTTCTATTTCAGTTCAGTCACAAGATGGGTTCTGTGCCATTCCAGTCAATAACTGCTCCTTGCCACCTAAGGACAAGAGAGATTGTTTTATTCTAATGGGTTAAGGTGCCAGTTGTGGTGGTGCCCCTCCCTCCTAAAAAAATAGTGTAGGGTGTGTTTAATTGGGATGGACCCATTAATGTCAACCACATCCATTGTGAATTCAACAGGAATCCACCTCTCTGGAACCACTGCTTCAACTGGAACCCATTCGCACTCTGGATGGTACTCTCTGCAGAGGGGACCCCAAAACTGAATTGACCTGGAGACTGAGAGGTCTCTTATTAGGTTTCTGCCCTTAATATTCAAGGGTGAGACTTTCCAAGGCACTTGAGGAAGTTAGGTGTCCAACTCCCATTAGATTTCAATGGGATTTGGAGCTGCTCCCCGCTTAGACTCCTTTTCAAATTCCAGTTTAGAGCCTAAGTTCCAGGCTTCCTAATGTGTTTTCTGGGGATAATATTACTGATCTTATTTAAACTTTGTTAAGGTCAAGCATCAGATGAGAAATAAAGGGGGGACACACTTGAAAACTCCTTATCTTCCCCTTCCACTATAATCAGAGGCACACACTTAAAATCAAATAGTTGTTCCTATTATATACTGTCTTCTGCCTTAACGCCTCTCCCCACAAAAGATTTGACACATATTTCTTGTGGTCTCTTAGTGATCTCTATAAGGGTTAACCCTAAGCACCTACTACTGCTCTAAACTCTCAAATGCCACTAGGTAATTTGCACATTCCTAAATAGACGGGCCTCTGAATAGGCAATTTGTATTTGTGACCCTAAGCCTAGGAAAGTACATTTTGCTGCTGCTGCTAGTGTTTATTTCTTTCAAATGCTCAATAGACAAACGTCTACAGGAAAATTCTATATCTTCTCTTCTCTTCTCTGCCACTGCCCTGCCCTGGAAATAATGCTAAGATACATACTTAGGAGAACATTTTCAAATGGGCCTCTACATCTGTATTCATCAACATATTTATTCAGTAATTTGCAGTAGAAGCCAAAGTGTGATAGGCATTGTCAAACACAGAGAAAGAGACCAGGCTTGATCTAAAGCCCACTGAAGTCAATGGGAGTCTTGCGATGACCTCATTGCGTTGAAGATCAGGCCCATGGAGAGTACAGCTGGGTATTTAGATGAAGCATTACTTGAGCTACACATACAAACAGCTACTTGTACATGTAATATTTGCAAGCGCCTGTTTAGAAGCCTCTGAAAATGAGACACCTCTAGTCTAATTCCATTCCAACCACCAGTTACTTTGATCTGGCTTGAAGGTCTTGTGGACTTTCGAATTGGAATCACATTGGAATCATTGCAAAAAGTTCAGACGGTGATTCATAGATTCCAAGGTCGGTGGGGACCATTGTGATCATCTAGTCTGAACCGTATAACAGAGGCCATAGAACTTCCCCAAAATAATTCCTAGAGCAGAGCTTTTAGAAAAAGATCCCATCTTTATTTAAAAATTGTCAGTGATGAAGAATCTACTATGACCCTTCGTAAATTGAAAAGGAGTACTTGTGGCACCTTAGCACCTGATAATGCTTGATTATCACTACAAAAGGTCGTCCCCCCTTCCCCCGCTCTCCTGCTGGTCATAGCTCACCTTAAGTGATCACTCTCGTTACAGTGTGTATGGTAACACCTATTGTTTCATGTTCTGTGTGTATATAAATCTCCCCACTGTATTTTCCACTGAATGCACCCAATGAAGTGAGCTGTAGCTCACGAAAGCTTATGCTCAAATAAATTGGTTAGTCTCTAAGTCTCTAATTTATTCTCAAGTCCTCCTTTTCTTTTTGCGAATACAGACTAACACGGCTGCTACTCTGAAACTTGGTAAATTGTTACTAGTTGTTAATAATTACCCTCACTGTTAAAAATTTACACTGGATAGTGTTATACCTCTCTCTGCTAGATGGAAGAGGCCATTATTAAATATTTGTTCCCCGTGTAGATACTTCTGGACTATAATCATATCACCCTTTAACTTTCTCTTTATTACGCTAAATAGATTGAACTCTTTGAGTCTGTCACTATAAGACAGGTTTTCTAATTCTTTAATCATTCTTGTGGCTCTTCTCTGAACCCTCTCCAATGTATCAACATCCTTCCTGATGTGACCAAAAAAGCAATAAAATGTGGCTAAGAAATATAACCCCCATCCTCTCCTGGCCTCTTTGGGAATGCTACAGAGCTCAGACACATCACCATTCATGCACACTCTGCCCACCACATCATCTTCCATCATCAGGAGCTGGTGGAATGATATGATACAACTGTCTGGATTGGCAAATGCAAAACCACATGGTAGAGAAAACACTCTAGTGAATGTGCTGTTATCAACTAAAGGATTGAGATACCATAGTTATAGCAGGCGCCACTCTTCCTGTACACGTTGAGACACATGTTAGTCATGTTACACTGATGATTTTTTTTTGTCATTAAGTGTTTTGCAAAAACAAAAATAGAAAAAAATATTCTGTGGCAAAAATCAGGATGACTCCCATAACAACACTGATTTTCCTCACTGATTTACAAACCACTTCCCTTGAGCTATTTGTAGGCTGAAAAAAATCCCTTTGTTGTTCACCTCCCATAAAAGCCTGAGTTGAAGATGCTGGAATGTCAGTGTTTTTCTTTTCATGAACTCACAGGAAGTGCTGAACTGTCAGGTGCTGGGCAAGTTCTTTCCTTATTGGCAGAATAGGTAGGGCATAGAGAGTGGCAGTTCGAGCTTTCCCCCCACGCAACCCTGCTGAAATATACCTCAACTCTACCCTGGCATTTTTGCTTCTGACTCAATTCTACTTTATCAGATTAACAATAAAAAGAAAATCTAATTCATGCCATTCACTTGAGGCCTCATCCAAAGCCCATTGAGGTTCATGGGAGTATTGTCATTGACTCCAAAGGAAGCTGCATTAAGCCCTTGCAGAGCATTCAGTCTAGAATAAAGTTCATAAAGCTGCTGCTGTGTTGATTATTTGGCTGTTGCATAATGTGTGAGTAATTTGGGGTGAAATGTACATTCAGTGCTGCCCTGCATATGGTACTTGGTACATCCCTGTTGTCCCAGTGGAGTGTGTCACTTCAAAGGACAACAGCAGTATTCTGCTACTGTATAGCCCGGAAACTGCAGAGGAAGGTAGAGGACGGGTTACTAAAATATATTGCTGAATTTAGATGATAAAGTAAGATCAAAGTTTTGCCTCCTCAGGCAGAGATGACAGATGTTATTTCCACCACTGAAGACAGAAAACAACTGAGGACGGGGACTATGATACAAGCGTGTTCTACTGAAGTCTGCAAGGCATCGCCAAAACAAACCAAGGACGCACATTCCAGGCATCTTTTGGTCAGAACCGAACTGTTTCCCCCAGATGTCTGGAACTGGGAGGCACAATGGAAGGGCATGTGGTTGCTCTGACTCATTGGTTGGGAGTCTGCAGTTGGAAGCGACATCAGGTGGCAAAGTTTGGACTGTGTTGCCTCCTGCTGCAAATGCAAAGTGCACTTCCCCAACCTTGTCTTCTCAGAGCAACATGGACATTAAAACCTTCCCCCTCAAAAGAACAAACAAAAACCCTGCACTGCACACCCATTTCTCCCCCTAGGGGGAGGACGAGAGAAGAAACCAAAGTGACAGATGTTAGTCGAAACTGCTTTCTGTACTACTGGAAGGAGCTCAGTTAATGTGGTGATGGGCACGATGTAAGAACCTGTATAGAACAGAATAGCGGGAAAGAAAGGGGAAAATGGAGTTCTCTTGAAAATCCCAATCTAGGATTGGAGTCCTCGGCAAAACTTCTTGGTTCTGAGAATCTAGAGGGGCAAATAACAAACTTGCCCCAAATCTTGCAGCTATTCTTGCCTCCATAGTGAGAGTCTTATGGCAACAGGTATCAAGTAGGGACTAAGGATTGTTTTTGTTTAATACAAGGGGTTTTTTGAAGTATTTCCTCTGCTCTGCCTGTACCATATAAAGTATTTTTCCTTCTCTCTCTCTCTGCATGTATACTTCAGTGCCTGCTTTATAATAACCTTTGTTTCCGGAACATACTTAGCACATGGATTTTCGGTTACACATAAGAACACACAATATTTGTTTTTCATTTTCCCTCTGTGCCTTCTGGTGATTCTAAGGAACACAGTAATCAAATGGGGGCTGGGGGAAGGAGTGTAACATGACCACCCTCTAGACTTGCTACTCTTTGATTGGCTGCCTGCTGACAGTTCTCCAGTACAATGATTAGCAACTTATCAATAAGAGCACTAGACAGACAGACAGATCAATGAGACAACCTTTAGTCCTTAGAACTGATACATATAGATATGCTGAGAGTGGAATTAATTTTTAATTCCACCCTCTAAAAATTAATGCAGGGAAAAGTTAAAAAAAAAGCTGTGTAGAATTGTGTTGCAATATGGCAATCCGCAAAAGTCAGGAAACAAAGTGATTATAACAACAAATTTAACTTTGTCTGCATTGCCCATCCGGTGTATTCTTTGGGCATAGGTTTCACATTCTAAACTGTCATCTGTTAGGCTGTGTGTTTAGCCAGATCATGAGAATAGATGCATCCCATACATGCAATATAGCTGTGCTAATGTATCTGTTGTAATGTTATGTTGTGCCTTTTCTAACTTGTTGTGATGCTGACTGTGTAATATGAGCTTTGCATTGCAATGATGTTAGACAGTTAATGTCCCAGCTTGTTTTTTTAAAAGAAAACTGGGGGTGGGGGTGGAAGATGACAATAGGAAATTAAAAAATGTGGAGCTGTTTGTGTTGCTGATTTAACAAGTGCTACAGTCTTCACCTATGATGCACATATGTTTCTTGCTTCAGAGATACCCAGTTAAGGGATTTTCCAAGCTCTGCCAGTGGAGAGGATACATTTCTTTGTTTAGCTAGTTGCGCACATAATCCCCATCCCCCTCCATTGACACAATTGGGAATCTTCCCATCCACTTTAATGTATTAACTGGATTAAGCCCTTAAATAGCTGCACAACCATGACCACCACACTTATTTTTAAATACCAAAATCTGTCCTCTGATATGTGCATGAAATTTCCATTGCAGTGGGAGTGGTGTCCATATTTGAGGGCAGAATTTGCCCTAAGAGCTTACCTAACAAAACCAATTTCTATTGTGCATGCTCAGTCCCATTTCTTCAAACAATCAGAACATTGTGTAAAAACATGGTCTTTTGCAATCTTGAGAAATCACATACTCCTCATAGACGCCTGTTAAAAAGCCAGGACTACAGTTTCAAATAGCAGTGGGGTTTTTTGTAGTTATCACAATAAAAGAAAGGGTGATCACCATTTTTTTTTACTATGGAAATATTTGAGATTTTTTTTTACCACCACCAGAGATAAAAAGGATTTTACTCAAACCTTCAATAAAAAAAAAAATCAATCGATCAATAAAACACCATCAGGCTGACCCCAAGCATGGAATATTTTGGTTAAAAGGCTGAATGTTTCAGAGAGTTGTGAGCATGTGAAAAGAGAAAATTATAATAGAAACTGTTCTGTAGCCTTACCTATAATGGCCATCACCAGGATGACTTCTATTCCATGAGTTGTTTGAGTTAATGCTATTATAACAGCATACCCCCTATATTTATGAGTATCCATACAAATACCTTATTCTGCCCCCGTGCTCATGTTTTATTTAAAGCATGCATGTTTATCTCACAAGTAGTGTTTGCTCTGTTAAGCTCACAGCATTGTCTGCCCTGTTACTGTTTTTTTCCCCATTCATGTCTAAATCCCATTCATATTACAGTTCCTTGTGCTTCCCTGTGCTTTGAATTTGGACATTTAAGAGGACAGAAAAAAAGGGCTTTTCTTCTCCTTTTCACTCCTTTTGGCAGAAGCTGGGAATGGGCGCCAGGGGTTGGATCACTTGATGATCACCTGTTCTGTTCATTCCCTCTGGGGCACCTGGCATTGGCCACTGTCGGAAGACAGGATGCTGAGCTAGATGGAACTTTGATCGGACCTAGTATGGCCGTTCTTATGTTCATGCATTTTGTGCTCTTGTAACAAATTGCTTTCGGGGGCCCAATTTTGGTCCTATGGAAATCAAGGAGAATTACTGTGACAAGGTCAGCTCTTAGTGATTTACTGAAGGTTTCTTTAAGCACTAAATTGAACATCCCAGCCCATTAATGTGGTCATCATAACATCATACAGGAACAGAACCCTATTTCCGATATGTTCTGTTACCAACTCTGGCTCATTGAGGTCCTTTCTTTTTGTTAACCAACAACTCTTTACGACTAAGCTGAACATATTTATTTTATGGCAAGTGAAAATCTCATTTTGAGAAAAAAAGTTAGGGAACTGAAACTATCTGTGCTACAAAACTGTAGATGAGGGTTACTTACTTTGTCCTAATACAGTGCTCAAGTGGAGGAATAAGGTCATTTTCTTTATCTTCAGTGTAAGGCTGAACTGTATCTGCAGAGACATTTCAGATATTTATCATGACCATCATCATGTCTGGAAGTCAACATCATGGACCAGAGCCCCACTGTGTTAGGCACTGTACAAACACAGAACAAGAACATAGTTCCTGCCCCAAAGTGGTGACAATCTACGTGCTAAATCCTCTTTCCAAAACCTGCAAACAATATTGGCATGGAATGGCAGATCAAATATTATCATATAGAGCCGATTACATTCAGGATGAGTCTGGTAATGTAATATGAGCAAAGGTGTAGTTTAAAGAAAAGTATGATAGTCTGAAAACCTCGTAAGTGGTACTTCTGTTATTTAAAAATGGTACCCTGCCATTCAGAACCACTTATGTTTTACCAATCATTTTTCCACAAAGCCTACAGTGGCACACACAAGACCTCTCTTCTTAAATATGGGACAAAACTCTTTTTAACGGGAAGTACAGCAATAAATATACATGCAATAGCTAATAGCCTCAATCAATTCCATTTCAATTAAGTCACTCAAACTATTTATTGTAACTTATGGCGGCTGCCTTGAAGTTGGGGGTGGTAAATGCACCTCTGGAGAAAATGCCACCTTCTAATAACTTCAACGACAGTTATATTTCCCCCAGCAATTTAGTAAATGACTATGCTCTTGAGAACCCCATTTTAAAGAGTACTGAGTTCAAAGGATGTTTGAATGGGGTAAGATACACAGATGGTCGTCATCTGTAATCATTATAAAGGTCAGTGACATTTCTCCAGAAGTCCAAAAAACCTTTATTCTTTTCTGAAAGTTCTGTGTAAAATATATAATAAATATCCCCAAACCCATGGAGATTCTCTGAATGACTGACAAAGGCACATGGGTAAAACACGAGAGACATTTAAAGTTCTCATGGAGTGCATCGTTTCCTCCAAATAAATTAGCCTGTTTGCCTCCTATATTTGAGTAGGACTTTCTGTGTGGAAGAAGGCCCTTTTTGCCCTGTAAAGCAGAGTGAAGTTCTGCCACCCTGGATTTGCTCTGTTTTTTGGAAAGAGATAACAGGTATCCTCTCTATCTTGCGGCAAATGGGTCCATATGAGTGAGCACCATAGATAAAATCTGCCCTTATGCAAACGGCTAGCATGAGACTGTACATCAGTTAAGTCCTACATAGATTATGTTCTGGTCCCCTACACAAGGGAAAATTTCACTCCGAATGAAGTTAATTCTGCTATCCACTTCTTCACTCTTCCTCTATTTTTGCAAAAGGCTTTACCAGGCTTTGATCCTGCCTTCCTGGTTACAAAGTACAGCTCTGGGTGAAGGTCATCATTTCAAGGAACACTACTTTTGCACATCTGGTCACAGAAAGCACAGCACCTAAGGACTCAGAAGACTCAGTTACACTTTTTAGGAGATGTTAAAGAACCCCAACTTTTCTCTAGATCAAACAAAGTTTGTACTGAGCAGGATGGCTATCTCCAAAGACACACAGCAAGCTCAGAGGAATCTTGGAGAGATTTTCTAGCCAGAATGGTGAAACTATTTGGCGTTAATGCAGTACTGCAAAATTCCAAAGATAAGAAAAGATTTAGTAGTACAAACTATTTGTGGGTGTGATGCCTTAAATTTAAAACATACTTCTGAATCCAAGCCTAATTCCAGAGGAGAAATAAATTGGAGTGATAAGAGTTGGTTGAATGGTACAAAGAAACAATACACAAAATAATAATTAGCAATTTCTCATCCACAGATCTCAACGTGTGAGCAAGTATTATTATTCCTGTTCTACTGATGGATAAACTCAGACCAACAGAGGTGAAGTGACTTGCCCAAGTTGACACAGATGTTAGTAGCAGAGGTGTAAATAGAACCTAGGTCTCTACTGCTATGCTGACAAAGGACGTCCTTGCCACAAACTGAAACTCACCGCTGTTAGAAATAATTAATAAGTAAGGATTCTCCTTGACCATAGACAACTAATAAGACTGGCTTAAACCAAAAGGTATGTTGTTGCTCTTTAACAAAGCAAAACTGAAATGTTTTTTCTCAAACTTACAAAAACATTGGAAAAAATCACAGAAAAGGTCAGCCCAAGAGGCATACGTTTCAAAAAAAATTGGGGCATATGAAAAAAAAATTATAGTTATAATAAATGTCCTCTCCTAGTGGCCCTTTGTACGATATATGTTAGTAAGTCTTCTCACTTCTGAAATAGACCACATATGGGTACCTGTTTATTTATGGAGATAACATACAACCATCATAATCATCCCAGTAGGGTGGGCTCTCAGTGAATTTGAGTAAGATGATACAAACTATGGTGCTGCTACAATTTCACTTACCAAAGACCAAATCTTGAAAGATTCTCCTGAGCACCCACAACTCCTCACTGCAACTCTCAAGGGTTGGGCACATCAGCTCTGTTTAATGAGTGGCCAGATTGTCCATTTTACAACTAGCCATGACTAAAGGGCAGTGTGCAGATGTGCTGCCTCACGAGCAGTCCAAGGAAGGAATTGGACCATATTAGCAGCAGCTTACTATATTCTCTGCACCAACTCAGCTGTCCCCGAAGGAGCATTAAGGTTCAAACTAAGGTTATAACCGTTCCCCACCCTCTCTGTCATTTCCAGCCCATCCTGCAAGGGGAGGGGGAAATACTGAGACTGCGGGATCTACTCTGTCCCCTGCGCCTGCAGAGATGTGGAGCCTATCCAAAGTCACAACTGGTTTATGGCCCTGTGAGTCTGGACAGACCAGACCACAATCTAGCCCTTAGAAATCAGCTTTCTTTAAAGGTGTAGCAGCTTCTGGGAAACAGGGCACATTTTAAACTTTTAAACATTTCAGGTGTTTAACCTTATCTTAACCTCAAAATTATCCTGCTGCAAACCACTATTTATTGTAACTCATAATGGAAACCTAGGCAGTGGGCACCAAACCTCTAATAGTTCGGCTAGATTTGGGTTATATTATCAGGACTCTTCTTTCAGGTGTGATGCTGTTACTGTCACTGTGGAGGAAATGCAAAGGTTCTCCTATACATACCAACTGTTAACCGTATTTCCTCTTCCTGGTTGGCCAGGCCATCATAGTAATAGAGATCAAATCTCCGTTCCGTTTTCCAGTCACCTAGTAAGTCCTTTCTCAAGCAAAAAAGCACACTGAAATGGCTTTCACTGCATACGACCCAAATGGGATACCTAGGGGTCTTCAAATAGCAGCCAACCTGGAAGAAACAGAGATAGCATGAAAAACAAAACAATTCATGGTGTACAATAATAAAAACAACAATAATTTTCACTTATGTATCGCCTTCAACATTAATTAATTAAGGCTCATAGTACACCTCTAAAGCCGGTACAGGTTATTTCCCCTATTTTTGCAGTTAGGTAATCTGAGGCACAATTAGGCTCAGTAACTTGCCCAAGGTTACACACAGATATGTTTTTCACTGCAACAAAGGTGTGTTCTTATCTTGGGTTAATTAACAGGGGTTAAATTAGAAGTGAAGACACTGCAACTTGGCCTTTAACTCAGGTTAGCAGTTTGAGTTAAAGCCTACAGGGGAGCCTGGGGTTAAACTCAAGTTACTAACCTAAGTTAAAAGCCAATTTACTGTATCTTCACTGCTATTTCAACCTGAGTTAGCTAACCACAATTAAGAACACCTCTTTTTCACAGAGGGCGAAATCCTGGCCTGACTGAAGTCAGTGGCAGAACTCCCATTGGCGTCAATGGGCCCAGGATTCCATCCCTGGAATTCAGAAGAAAGGAGAATCCAGTTAGCTGCCGTAGCTACTAAACCACACTGAAAAGAGCAGAGTAATATGAAGATCATGATTTAGTTATTCCAAGGTGCTGTACAGACATATTGGAAGACTAAATCCCCGTTCTGAAGAGTTTACAATCTAATATAATCCCTGCATTTCAACACATTTTTTCATTGGCATTTCAAATTCAGGGGTTTGGGTTTTGTTTTGTTTTGAACGAGTAGAATAAAACAATAAAATCTTTTCACATTGAACAACCTTTTCCATTGTTACTAAAACGGAAGGCTTCTCAGAATCTCAGATGGAGTAAAATCAACACATTATTATTGGGCCGCCTTTGACGAACCTCAGTTCTTTCTTTTTAACCTTCAATTGTAAAGGCCTTATCATGCGCTTAAGTCACATGTGCAACTCCTGCTGACCTCATATGGAAGTTCTACCCTCAGACTAAAGGCACAACATAAGTATTCTTCGTGGGGGGAAAAAGTGTACTTTACTTGAATAGCCATTATTTTTAAATCTCCCAACAGTTTGAAATATAAGTAAATACAGTATTATTGATATTTTTTGAATAATCACCTAATTTATCATCTAATCTAATCTAATCTATCTATCATTGGGTTTTATCCTGCTGCCCACCACTGTAGAATCTGACCACCTTCCACGTAAAATCAATAGCAATAGCAAAGTCCCTACTGGACTTCATAGAGTCTCTGACACGTCTTCCTTTTTGGGGTAAAAACTCTTCTTGGGGTGCATGTTTTATATATATATTCTGGTGTTTACAACATACTGATAGGTAAATTATTTAGGCCATGCTCCTATATCCACTGAAGTCAATAAGAGATTTGAGATTTTCTTTTCCTGCCTTAATCTGTTCCATGATGAACACCATCCCCTTCCCTCCCCAAGTCCTGGGTTGCCCTTTTACGATGACACCCTCCTGAAATCAATGCAATGTCCAGAGGTATTGGTTCACAGTGAGCAACAGCAGATGTGTTCACTTACTGGGACCAGACTATCATGCAGTACATTTTACAGCAGGGAGCAAGTTCAGGATTTCAGCCCCTCTACTAACATGTAAATGGGTAAATATAGTAGCTAGATTGTTTAATGAATCAGGAACACCTTTCTTTTTTCTTCCTGTTGGGATTTTAGTTTTCAGCTATAAAGGATATTTAGTTATTTGCTATATTCCTGTAATTGAAATATGGCATCTTATCACAAAGCAGCTTTGTTTTTCCCATAGAACTACTGACAGTTTTATCTTCCAGAAATTATTTAGGGAAACTAAAGACAAAAATAAAACTTCTATTTTAATAGAATAGCTTTTATTATTACTATAAGTATTTCTATTGAGGTACTGCCTAGAGACCCCAATCCTATTGTGCTAGGTGCTGTACAAATCTTAACTTTAGAACTGCTTAACATTAGAATAAACGAGGAGTACCTGTGGCACCTTCGAGACTAACAAATTTATTTGGGCATAAGCTTTCGTGGGCTAAAACCCACTTCATCAGATGCATGCACTGGAAAATACAGTAGGAAGATATATATACACAGAGAACATGAAAAAATGGGTGTTGCCATACCAACTGTAACGAGACTAATCAAATAAGGTGGGCTATTATCATCAGGAGAAAAAAAACTTTTGTAGTGATAATCAGGATGGTTCATTTCAAACAGTTGACAAGAAGGTGTGAGTAACAGCAGGGGAAAAATTAGCATGGGGAAATAATTTTTAATTTGTGTAATGACCCATCCACTCCCAGTCTTTATTCAAGCCTAATTTAATGGTGTCCAGTTTGCAAATTAATTCCAATTCTCCAGTTTCTCGTTGGAGTCTGTTTTTGAAGTTTTTTTTTTTGCAGAATTGTGACTTTTAAGCCTGAAATTGAGTGACCAGGGAGGTTGAAGTGTTCTCCAACTGGTTTTTGAATGTTATAATTCTTGATGTTTGATTTGTGTCCATTTATTAGGTCCTATGATAGCGTCCCTTGAATACATATGTGGACAGAGTTGGCAATGGGCTTTGTTGCAAGGATAAGTTCCTGGGTTAGTGTTTTTGTTGTGTGGTGTGTGGTTGCTGGTATTTGCTTCAGGTTGGCATGTCTGTAAACAAGGACTGGCCTGTCTCCCAAGGTCTGTGAGAGTGAGGGATCGTCCTTCAGGATAGGTTGTAGATCCTTGATGATGCGTTGGAGAGGTTTTAGTTGCGGGCTGAAGGTGACGGCTAGTGGCGCTCTGTTACTTTCTTTGTTGGGCCTGTCCTAGAGTAGGTGACTTCTGGGTATTCTTCTGGCTCTGTCAATCTGTTTCTTCACTTCAGCAGGTGGGTATTGTAATGAATAAACAGTGAAGAAAACAGTGAAGTGAAGAAACAGATTGACAGAGCCAGAAGAATAGCCAAAAGAAGTTTGGATATTTATATGGGTAATGAGAATATCCACAGTTACATTAGGGTGAATAAAAATATATGAAAAGGCTCTAAATCCTCATCCACTGACTAAAACAAAACCTTCCCTTGGGGCTGGTTTTCCATAATAATTGTCCTTTACGTGGCTTCTTGCAACTCTCCCTAAAGCTTCTGGTGTTGGCCACTGTCAGAGAAAGGATTTTGGACTACGTGGACTGCTGCTCTGGATCTGATCTGATCATTCCTTCGTTCCTTCGTTCCTGGGACTGAATAAAGAGGTCAGGAGAGGGTTCTAGCAGGTATATTTGCTACTGTGGACATTATGGTATATATTGTATATATAATGCTGCTTCCAATTCTCAGGCACATTGCCTATAGCCACCAATGTGAGCTAATCAGCAGAAAAAATACAGCATATGGTGTGTAGCCCATTCTATTATAAAAATCTCAACAAAATTCTCAGCATTGTGAATTATGCACTTTTGTTAATAAGAAATGTATTTTGCATCTGAAATGTTATATAAATACAAAATCAAGCATCTTCCTGAAGCAGAGTTCCTTGTGATGTTAGGAAACAATTCTCTAGATCAATAAGTAACTGACTCATTACTTTGTTAATGTCTATATAACACATCCTTTTATTCAATAGTTTGGAGAGGGAGGGTTTGTAAATTCTTGGCTCAAAAGTACAGAAGAAATTTTGCAAAGTTAAAAGCTAAAAAAATAGAACATAAAAGGAATAACAATAAGAGAAGTACATAGATCCAAGATTTCAAAAGATTTCAAATAAGAGGGAAATTGATGAAAATATTTCACTTTACAAAGATGCTTATATTAGTATTCTTGTAAATCAAAGACAAATGTGAACAGTGACTTCCTTGTAATGCTGTCATCCCATAAATGGCTGCTAAAATAATGCCCAAAAGGCTTCAAACAATATGTGCTGATGTGAGATTAAGGAAATAGAAAAAGGTTTCCAACCAAAGTTCCACTTTAGCTCTTATTCACTCGAACAGTCCCACTGATGTCAATAGGGCTGCTCATGTGAGTAAGGCTTGCAGGACTGAGCCTCAGATATGTATATTGCACAAAGAACTAAAAGCACATACTGCATTAACATAAGCGTTCCACTAGTGTTTAAAATACTGCATGCCAAATCCTCAGCTATTGTAAACAACAGAGCTACACCAATTACACTAGAGGAAGAGTTGGTCTTAACTGTATCATAAAGTAGTGTTATTCGTAGGACTGATAATCGAGGGCTTCAATGAAACAAATACTATCAGCTTTCCCCAAGATTTGAGACCAGAGACCAATAACACAGTGAGAAGGGTAATATGCTACACTAAAAGTGGAATTTTCACAAGTACTCATTTGCTGGCCTAACTTGCTTCCATTGAAGTCAATGGTCAAACTTCAAATTTAGGCCAACATTGAGGGCTTTTAAAAATCCCACCCTGGGATTTCTGATGTAGTCACCTATTTCTGATGTAGTCACCTTCAAGAAGATAATGGCAGTCAAATACCCAACGTTTTCTGCAAGAGGAGATGAATGCTGTACCCATGCCTCTTGCTGGCCAAAGAAGCCAGTTGTTTGCCCAGCCTCACCCACTAGTAAGAAGAGCTTGCATATTTTCCTGATGTCTCACACTCAGGAGACTCATTCATCTTTGTCTGCTGAAATCACACTGATGCACATGCAGAATTCAGAGTATGTAAATAAAAACCCAAAGATTCCCTTCTCTCCTCTTGGTCTGCTGAAATCCTTTAGACAGGCCTATTTACTTAGGCCATGTCTACATTTACCGGTAGATCAGCACTGCTGTGATTGATGCAGCAGTGTCGATTTAGCGGGTCTGGTGAAGACCCGCTAAGTCAATGGCAGAGCACTCTCCCGTCGACTCCGGTAATCCAACTCCCTGCAAAGAGTAAGGTAAGTCAGTGGGAGAGCATCTCCCATGACACAGTGCGGTGTAGACAGCGCAGTAAGTCGACTTAAGCTGCGTCCACTTCAGTTACATTACTCATGTAACTGAAGTAGCAAAACTTAGGTCGACTTACCACGGTAGTGTAAACCAACCCTAAGAGCTTGCAGAGAGATCTGGCTCTTGGACTTATTAATATTTAACAATTGTCATTTTTGTTATGGGCCAGCCATATGCTTTGTACTTTACAGGAGACAAGTATGAAGAGGGTCCCCTCTTAAGGAGCCGATATTAGTATCACAAATTAATTAAATACTATAATGCATCAGTTTTAAAATATTTCATCACTTTTGACAGATGCTTATTAATCTATTGCAGGCAGAAAGGTGGGGCGAATATAGGGAGTTCGGTATCTTCTTATGCTGCATGTTTACAATCCTACAGAGACTTCCCTACCACGGTGCCCCTCCCTTACAAATCCCTTAAGTACCCTCATAAATTTCACTGAGGCAATTTTCATCTTTGGAAAATGTCAACCTTTCAGAAGAGAGCACCTGCAAAGAAAGACTCATTTCCAACTCTGTGGGTGGTCTTTTTAACCATCTGACTTAATTTCATACTTGCACAATGGCAAATTTAACTCTCCTCACCAACACTTACTGTGGCAGAATCATTTCCAATGTATCTGCCCTTGTGAAAGTTCCTGAATCTGCACATATTTCACCGTTCATAGCTTATCTTCTTATAGCACAGGACAACTGCGTTCTTGCTAAGTTTTCTTCAGACACAATACATATGAGGCAGAGGTTTTTTTTCCTGTTTTTGGTGCTTTAGTAAGGCACACAGCTTGAGCAGATACAAATTAATGTTCTCATCATTCTTTGTAACGTTTATAATTCAGATGGGAAGAGGATGCAACATCAGAAAAAACAAGATGACTGAATGGCCATGGCTGATGTGGTTGTTTTTTTAGTTCCATCTTATCTAGCACAGTTTTTAATTTTTCTGCTTGCTGTGTTTTACATTATTTAAATTTGAATTGTATTTATTTATAATATCAACCCTGCCATTTCCTGCCTTATTTTTGTTTGCCTGGGTACTGCAACACTTGTTACAGTGTTACACTTACAAGCTCCCCTCCTGCAAAGTCCCATCTTGCAAAGTTGAGTAGAGCTCGGGGGAAAATATGGGTTTACTGGCAATTCTGAAAAAAAAATTGTTTTAATTCTTTTGGGAAAACCAAAACGTTTTTTTCAAAATCTCCAGTGAATTGAAAAGTAAAAAAAAATCCTCTGTGTAGGAAAAAAAAAGTTTTATTTTGACATTTCCAAAATATTTTGATTTTTTTCAGTTCAATTGAATCTATTCAGTGGACTCAATATGAATTTGCAAATAGTTTTGGGTCAACAAAACTGCATTTTTCAGCAAATATATTATTAAAATTTCACCCAGCAACACTGCTGAAGTCAATAGGATTCTATGTGGGTACAAAGGCCCAGCCATACAGATCACTGTCTGGGATCAAGGCAATAGTTTGCTAACTCATTAATGCCCCTTTTAAAAACTCCCCAATCCTACTGAACTCAGTGGGATTCACTTTCATAGAATCATAGGCAAGTAGGGCTGGAAAGAACCTCAAGAGGTCATCAAGTCCAGTCCCCTGTGCTAAGGCAGGACCAGTAAACCTAGACCATCCCTGACAGGTGGTTGTCCAACCTGTTCTTAAAAACCTCCCATGATGGGTATTCCACAACCTTCCTTGGAAGTCTATTGTAGAGTTTAGCTGCTCTTGTAGTTAGAAACTTTTCTAATATCCAACCTAAATCTCTCTTGCTGAAGATTAAGCCCATTACTTTTTGTCCTGCCTGGATAAAATGGATGTAACGGTGTGATAGGACTCAACCCCCATCACCTGCAAGGCAAGGGGAAGAGTTCCTATTAGTCATGCTCTGCTCCTAGGGGGTGATTGACTAATTGCCTCCTGGCCAGACAAGGCAGAGCTATGCCTTATAAGTAGACTGAGGGAGCTCATATGGGAACAGACTGCGGAAGAGACAGGTCTCTGGCAAACAGAAGTCCTGGGATAGGGTTTAGTAGACAAGAAGCAATGGAGAAAGGACATTACAGGAGCAGGTCAGGCTCCTACAGGGGAAGCCCTGAGGTAGGGCCAACAAGGAAACTATCATGAAGCCTGAGAGGGGCAGAAGGGCTTATCCCAGAAGGAGTTTTTGTGAGTTGCCTGGAGTGCCAAGCCAGAGAACATCTAGGTGGGAGATGGGAGAAGAGGCAGGCTGAGAAAGGCTATTGTAGGTGCAAGGGAGAGCCTGATATGGGGACACCAGAGACACAGACCCTGTGCAATGCTACGACCAGAGACAAGGGGGCATCCATGAGGGGTGGACGTGCTACTACAAACGGATATAATTAGCCGGTGCTTAAGTGTTTACAGGAAATTGCACATTGTCTGTTCTATCAACAATGGTTTTGATTACAATGACATTTGCTGTCAGGCATTAATATTAAATGATGTTCCCACAACGTTAGTCTGAGGAGTCGATACTATAAAAGAAGATTCCCTTTTTACATTCCTTGGGACATCTACAGTATCACAGCCTCAGCACACTTGTTCCACCTGCAATAAAACACTAGCTCACTCCCCCTGGGTAATACACTATTTAGTATATTTGCAATTATATGTTTTCCAGTTCCAGGTGGCATGAGGGGCAGAGCAGTTGTGGCCATTAAAATGTAGCAGGTTTCAAGTAGATTAAAGAAAACAAAATTCAATTACAAATGTTTGGGAATATTGATAAATAGAAGAATATGCCAGCCCTGCCAGAAACAAAAACGTTTTAAACAGAGATCTTTGAGTTCAACTAGAAGTAGACAGTCATTAGTATAACAGAAGCAGTATGTAATTTATTAATATTATTATTTGTATTGTGGTAGCACCTAAGAGCTCTAGTCATGGACCAAGACCCCACTGTGCTAAGCGCTGGACAAACACAGAACAATATGGCACTGGATAGTTTTGATATAGAAGAAGAACTGTCTCACATGATGAAATAGGAAACAGATGAAAAGGTGAAAAATAATGGAGAGGAATGGAAAAAGATTTGGGTCCAATCCAAACCTCACTGAAATAAGTGACCAAACTCCCTTTGACTGCAGTGGGCTTTGAACAAGACCCTATATGCAGCCACAACATACAATTATTACCAATTATTATATCACTGGTGCCTTACACAGGTCAGATTAAAGAGATCTATAGCAAATGAAGTGATGGCTGTGGGTCAAAGGCCATATGCAACTTGTGCTCAAAAAGGCATGCAGACATCATGGTGCTGAGTGAAGCCTGTCATCCAAGACAGACAGGTAATAATAATGAATTTCCACACCAGTTACAGGCTTCACCAATCATAATTTGCAAGTGGTAGGTCCAAAGGCTGGTGATTGTAAGCTCTTTGGTTCTTCTCATCATGTGGATGCAGTGTTTAATTCAATGGGACCCCACCCTGACTGGGGCCTTTAGGTGCCACTGCAATGTAAATAATACATGTAAAAATAACAGTGGTGGTTTTGAGAACAGAGGTTGGTAGTGCAAAGTTTAACATTTCATTTTCAAGAAGTCAAGATTTACTCGCAGTGACATCAGAGACAGTCCAATGCTACAGAAATTTGGGCTATATTTGACCAAACTCTTTCTGCTATAGATGCTTGCAAAATCTGTGAAAATCTCTAAAATCTAAGGTTTAAATAAAGAAATGCTGCAATCTTGTTGTTTTGTCTTTTCTTAAACAAGTCAGTGTTAATATCCCAACTGTAATGACCAACCCTATGAAAACAAATCCACGGATGAGATAGAAGACAAAAAGTTTTCTGTAAGGAAACACATTTCATTTCCAAGCTAGAAAGGGATTTGAATAAACAAGGAGTCAAGAACAAATTTTTTTAAATGATGGATACCTTAAGATGGAACACACATTTTTCTCCATAATGGAGCTCACCAGTAATTTATAGAGATATTACAGTGCCTTTGCAGAATCCATACATGAAGCAGAATCTCTACTGCGTGCTCATTACCGAACAATAAAAAGCCAAACTGATGGATAATAAAGCTTGCCCACCAGTTCCCGTTTTGCATATACATATTTTCATGACTTGTTTCTTAGCTAAGATGGTTGGATATTTTTTTCCCCCAGATGAGTTGCTTCTAATACATTTAAGTGCAAGAGGCACCTGCAAAGCAGACAAAAGGTTATGGGAAGAGTGTTGCACAGGGCAGATAAACAGATGAAGACAGAGAATATGCAGTGAATTTGTGAGTTAATGTAAAGCAGATCTTGTTAGTGCACACAGTGTGCTGGCTGCGTCAAAGGGGTTGAAGCTAATATTTCCCATCAGTGGTATTTTAATGAATAAGCTGAGTTAACAGATAACTGTCATTGTCCCAGTTTTCTAAATCAAGAAATGAAGGTAGAAAAGTTTGCTAACATGCTCATTGCCACCACAGTGGGAACCATTGGCAGAACCAAGATTAGTTCTTGATTCCGAGTCCTCCTATCAGATCACATGGCACTTAACACGTTAGGAAAAAGTGGGAAAATGAGGAGCTAAAATGACCAAGTAGCTATGGGAAAAGGCAGTGAGAGTTAAAGACATGATAGTGTCTGGATCATGGCAGCGGAGGCTAAAATTGAGTTTTTATGGTGTGCACTGTATTCAACTATAGAGTAGCTCTGTTGCTTTAGACTTTTCAAGATAGACTTGACAATGGGCACAATCCTACACTTGGGAGGTTGACTGGATATGACCTCAAAGTACTTTTCCATCCCTACGTTCTGATTCTGTGATTCACTATAAGTCTCATACATGAGCCTCTAACTGTTGAAAAAATTACTGTTCTTATCCATTTCTAGTTCCAGTTACCATCCTCATTGCCACACTGTAATTTCATGCAGAACCTATTTACTGAAATGCTGCTAAGAAGGAAACAGTCAATTCTAAAGACTTAGAGCCCAATTCTGCTCTCAGCTACACCAAAGTAAATACAGTGTAACCTCACCCACTTTCCTGGTGCTACTCTAGATTCACATTGGTGTAACTGAGAGTAGAACTTGGCCCTTAATTCTGAAACCATGACAATGAGTTCCAGGCCTGGTGACATGAGTCCACTGGAATCCGATTTTTGTTACATTCCCTCCAGTGTGTATTGTGTTGTACTCGAAAAACTCAAATGTACAGCAGTGACAGATGTTCCAAATAAAATATAAGAAAGTTTGCATCAGATGCTTGAATTAGTGTAGACCAAAAAAAAAAATGAAATTATGTCTACTGGGGTTTCTGCAACTGAGTAAGAATAATTGACTTGGAAAATATATCGCTGATCATGATTCTAATTCTCAAGCAGCTGCATATTCATAGAAGGCGCCACATCCCTTAAGTTTAGTATCTGAAGAATAAGTTGAAGAGGTCAGGTTTTCAGATGTTTTGGGATTTGGTAATGTAGAATTTTTGGGGGAGAATGGATGAGTAGATGAGTTATCATCTATACTAACCTCACTTAATGTTATGCTACATACAACACATCTTCCACTCTGGAGCATGGAAAACATCTGTAAGAGGTGCTAATCTTTTTGAGGTTCAAGTCAAGGAAGTGATACATTCTTTATAATAATACTAAGGAAGGACTAGAAGCATGAACCAGATAAAGCACATGTTTTCCTTGCTTTGTTTTGATCAGTATTCATCAAATTTGGACATTAATATCATATTGGGATATTTTCTTGACTTTATTGTTTTAGTCCTGAATACTGTAGTAGTCTTTTTCCATTACAAAAACGAAACACTAGAATTTATCAGTGTTAAGAAAATCCCACTAACTTCAGCCATATGGGAAACATTTAAAGTCAGGATTTGTTTTCAGATACATTTATTTGCATTTGATCAGTTAAAACAAATTATTAGCTAATTACTTGATGGGTGTCTTTTCATAGATTCCTAAATTGAAAAGGCCAGAGGGAACATTGTGATCATCGAGTCTCATCCCCTGTATAGCACAGGCCATAGAATTTCCAACACTATTCCAGAGTCAAGCCCAATAACTTCTGGTTGTGAAAGAACATATCTTTTAGAAAGACACCCAGTCATGATTTAATGACTTCAAGTGATGGATAATCCACTACAGCTGTACATAAATTGTTCCAGCAGTTAATTACTCTCACTGGGTTATTTTGGAAATTTCAATCTAATTTTGCATTTTCTTTCTAAATGAAACTAAAATATTATTTTCAAAATTAAATGTCGAAAAGAAACATGTCCCTTTATGTTGCCAGATATTATCATTGTCTTTTATTAGTCTAGCAAAATGAAGACTAAGAAGGGATTTGATTCCTCTCTACAAATACATTAGGGAGGTAAACACAAAGGAGTGAAAGAGCTATTTAAGATCAACAACAATGTTGGCACAAGAACAAATGAGCATAGGCTGGTCAGGAATATTATTGGGCTGAAGGTTAGTGGTAGGTTTCTACACATTAGTGGAGTGGGGTTCTCAAACAGCCTCCCAACAGGAGAAGTGGGGACAAATAACCTAAGTTCAAAACGGCGCTTGATAAGTTTAGATCTGTGATTATATGATGGTGCTATTGTAATAGCAGGAAACTGGACGCAGTGAACCAGGAGGTCCCTTCCAGTCCTGTGTCCTATGTTCCTGTTATTATTAGTGGTAGTAGCAAAATTATATGGTGGCATCACCTAGAGGATTCATCCAGGCCGGCTCCCCAATGTGCAATCACACAGTAAGTGAAATATAATGTCTTACTGCAAGCATCCAGTCCATGTCAAGTTTCAGATTTGTAAATTGCTTCCTTTTTAAACTAAACTCAAAAGCAAATGGTACATACCTGGCAAACATCATAGTGCTCAAAGAGAGACAGCAAGCCGATATCACTGCGGTTAGTGATTCCTTTCAAAACTGTGATATTTCCATTTCCAGAGTCCAGCTCTATTACATCATTGAACACGTTGGACACAGCTTTACCAGTCAGCAGCAAGTTCACAAGTTCCTGTTTATAATATAAAAAAAAGTCACCAACTATACATCTCGCCAGCTCACTAAGAATCAACACAACACATTGTGGTAACCACAGCTTTTACTGAAGTGGGGAGTTACCCTTATTTGGAATAAAGGCATTAGCTAAGCAGTGGGCTTTTCAAAGGATGTGCTTCAGGATTCCTACCCCAAAGTGCAATGAAGAAACATCAACTGGATTTAAAAGGCCAGCCAGATTAGGGCAGGAAAGCCAGTTTACATCCAATACAACCTTACATCCAATACTATTCTCAACCTTTCTAGGTTGGCACCCCTTATTCTAAGTCAATCATTTTCACTAGCCCTGACATGTTCTGTAACAGTAAGAGTAAAAAATGTATCAGCATAAATGCTAAGCCTATGTAATCGATGTGTGCGTGTTTTTCAAGAGGCTGACATACTTGAGCTTGAAGGGTGAGCAGATGCAGGGAGTGGGGGAGCGTGATTTTCTTTGCTTTAGATTGTAATAAAATTTTCACTGGCTAAGGATACCCCCACCCCCAATTGACTTACATTACCCTGTCCCCTTGAGGGGCTGCAACCCACTGGTTGAGAAACATTGCAATACCAGAAGACATTATCAAGATATGGTTAACTAGGAGTTGAGTAAACAAGTATTTTATAATATTTTCCTGACATTTCTGCATGTGTGTGGGCATACTTTTTCTATCAGATTAGATTTGCCAAAAGGTTTACTAACTTTTGTGAACCTGGACTCACTCAGAGATGGATTTACCTTCGTGGAGGCAGGGAGATGCAGTATCTATCTATATGGCCCGTATCACTGCTGCCTTTGAAAGCCAGTGTGAACCCCAGGCCTCTCACTGCAATGGTATTACCATTGAAGATCATGTTGGAGAACACTGCAAGCAGGTGGATCCACTGTGGAAGGACAGCTTTAAAATACAATAAGGGCCTCAGAAAATTGTGACTGTGGAAGGGGCTTGAGCCATTAGGGGTTTGACCTGAGCTGTGCTTTGATGGTTTGGGCTTCTTGGAACCTGAATCCCAAAGCACATCTCAAAGGGCGAAATGCCATGTGTATCTAAGCCAAAGAACATGTTCCTCCCATGCCCTGTGAATTGAAAGAGCCAAAACTCATAAAGCCATTGGGTGGCTTTCCATGGAGAGCATTTAATCCATTCACATTGAAATTCAAAATCAGGCAGGGTAGATTCCTAACATTGTTTCATAAAGAAAGGCCAAGAAATGAGTGTTATATGGATGTGTTCATTTTCTAGGGACAGAGAAGAGAACAAGTCTTGCCTGTACAAAACAGCCTTCCATGTTGTAACAATGTATTAAATTCACCCAGTACAACTCTGAAACACCCTCCTCTGCCACTTACGTACAATAATCAGTGGTGGGCTTAGTCAAGGCCTGTACCACCACTTACGGCCTACACGCTACATCTGCCAGAGTCTGCTCATGCTGTTCCTTCTAATATTACTGTTGGCCAGTCCATGGAGTCAGAGTGGTGTGTGAGTATAAAGCCGATGCAACTGAATGGGACACCACGCACATCTCACTTTGGATAAGGTCTCCACAAAACACGCTGACACTAATGGCACATGGCAATACACAGAAGCGGATTATGCCACACACAGGAATTGGCTGAGCATTAATACACAACATTGTGAGGGTCCACAGAGAAAAAACAAAATATGAAGATAATTTTGAGGAAAAAAGTTTCAAGTTGCCATAGCTTGAAGGCAAAAAGAATTAAGCTCTTGCCAGTTTAGACTTGATGTATGATAGCAATAATAAATTTACATATTTATAGCCAGTTTTTATTCCAAAGGAGCCCAGGAGCTTTATAGACTTGCACGGATGTACAAACTACAGCAAGGGAGCTCTTAGTCCACCAGGGAAGTACAGCCCCCTCTTACAAGAAGCACCAAAGATGTTTAACACACACCGCAACACCGCACAACAGGTTTGGGAAAGGAAGTGAATGGTGCCTTTTTCCTGCAGCAATAATTTAGGTGCTGTAGACAGAATGTCTTGAGTTTAAGATTCACCAGGGCAATAAGATTACAACTACTTCTTTATGAGGACATGCCAATTTAATGATTACAGATTTTCAGGACCTCAATTTTACTTCTCATTGGAAGACAGGAACTCCACCAGCCCTGCAGCCTTAGTTCAATACTAAATCGGAAGGAAGAATAGTAATTTCTGAGCAACAAACACTGCTTCCTGCATCATTGATGCTTACATGGTGGCTCAGTGGTATTTGTTCGGTCCCCCTGATCCAAGAACCCAGCAACTGAGCATCCAGTTCATTAAATGGGGATGGGAGAAAGATGCACCAGAAACCCAACTCAGGTATCGATTAAAAGCCCACTGACTACAGCAAGCTTTGGATTAGGTCCCAACTGAGCTTGCAAAAATAAAAAATTAGAAAAACAAAGCAAAATTAGAAAAATGGCAAATAATAAAAATTTTTGTTTCAGGCAGGTAAGGAGAAGATTCACAAAGCGAGAGGCTCTCAGAACAAAGAAGACAAAACGAAAGTCTTATAAAAGAAAAAAGGAGGAAGATACTCAAAAAAAGGGAAAAACACATGAGGAACCTGAAGTCAAGAGTGTTGTTTCTTCATGGAGTATAGTTCATATCATGTTGGCTTTTTTGCACATGCTGTCTTTAACACTCACCCACCTCCCTTACTTACTTGTGTACAGTATCCGTGGGTGCCAATCAGTTGGTTAGTGAGCACATCAAAATCATTGCGCACCCTGAAAAAGGTTTGGGAAAGTTTAATCATAATTTCACAGGATTTAACATTTCTAAGGCTTGGAAAGTTGCTACCATGGCTCAGTTTTTGGATTTCTTTTGGGTACATTTCTCTAAGAAAATATATGCTTGTTTATGTAGTTACCTAAAACCTGCTGAAGACATAGCAGACATAGCAAGTTGTTTTAAAAGAAATTAGCAATTAAGTGGTAAACTGTAGCAGTAAAGAGAAAGGGAAGCTATTTTCAACAATAGTTAAAGCTACAAAACTCACAGCTCCTAGAGCGTTTTGCTTAAATAACTATTGAGCAAAAAAAGAGTGTTAGAAGAAGATATGCAAGTATTCTTCATATATATGCATGACTTCCAAGGATGATTGTTTTAGGAACATACTTGATTTTGTATTTTATGTAATGTTTCAGATATGAAATATAGATATTACTAACAAAGGTGCCTCCACCAGGTTAGTCTGTCTTTGATCTCTAGGGAAATTCTCATTGCTATCAATGGGATGTGTCCATTAACTGCAGACAATTCTGTATATGTACTATACATAGTATAATCTACCATACACAACATGGAAGAACAATATGCAAAGTAAAAACCCTATTCTGAGGTCCTTTATTCTTAGAAACAACAGAATCATCATAGTGCTTCGTGCCACTGGTCCAGCTACTGCAGTACTCTGTCTCAGATAGTGGTCAGCATCAGCTGATTCAGAAGAAGATTCAAGAAACATCCTTGTAGACAATTATGGAATACTCTCCCCAAAGAGGAAGGTTTTTTTCCTAAATCCCATCAGTTAGTGGTTGGATTATGCCCTGAGACATGAGGGTTTATATCCATTATAATTCTCATGTAATTGTGAATATTCTTATACCTATAAATGTTTGATCCTTTTCTGAATGCAATCAATCAACTGGACCCTATGACAATTTTATGGCAATAAATTCCATGTGCTGGCCTAAAAAGAATTTCTTCTTTCAGTTTTAAATGTGCCAATTCCAGTTACATTGGTTCCCCTTATTCTCGTATTAGTAAAAAGATAAAGGGCTTATCTGACTGACTTTCTCTATATATTTCATTGTTTTATATACCTGTTGCATGTTCCCTCTTATTTGTCTCCTCTCTAAGCTGAACAATTCTAATCTTTTCACTCTCTCCTGATATGTAAGCCTTTCCATACATCTAACAATTTTTGTTGCTTGTCTTTGGACCCCTTCAATTTCAGCTTTAAAAAATACATATAGCGGTATAATATGTCTGTGATAATGGAAAAGGTATTATGGTGCACTTGGTGTGGTTAAAATAGGATTTAACTTGACATTTCATCCAAAACACAAACTTAACACTTATTTTCAGTTCAAAAATTTGGTTCTAAGAATAAAAAAGTTGGGGCAACTCTGCAGTTCCTGGTTACGTCCCAAATATTGTAGAGATATGTTTCTTCTGGTATTACTTGTAGTGCCAAAAGCAGGATGTATTGTAAATCTTTTAAGATTTCCAGCCTGCTTTCAGGACTGAAGAGGTCCTTAGAATCACTATATCTGAACTGAACCTGCTGAGGTTCACATGTGCACTACTTCATGTGTATAAATGAGAAGGGCAATCCAAGAGCCAGTTCCAGTGATGTCTAAGTGCCTTACTAGCTAATATTACTTGTGCTGAATCAAAAGGGCTAAGAAGAATCCATGAACACTGTGTATGTGGTGTGGAAAAGTCTTGTATAAAGAGATCACAACCTTTCAAGGCATGGATGGAACGATAATAATCTTTGGAATTTGGCCACTTATTAGTTTTAGAAACAGTTGCATCTTGAAAATGCCATAGCCTTGTCCGAAATGAGCGGACTATACAATATACGTCAGCTAGGGGCAATGGGACATACAAGCAGGACAATGGAAGGAAGTTCTAATTGCCTCTTTAGGTGCAAACAATATGGGACTTTAGAGGTGTATCTCAGATTTTCAAGAAGAAACACATCTGCATTTCAAATCATTTCTGCTAGGGAGGAAACAACCACCAAACATATAGCTATAAGATTTACAACGATTATAAATCATACTGTCACTACAGTTCCCCATTCCCAAGAAGTTAGCATGCGAGCCAGAGTGTTTATTTACAGTACAATAAGAGGTGTGGTATTTGACAGGCCTACCATACTTTAGGCACTGTATAGACTGAAAATAAATACAGGTAACGACATTGCATTGTATATTTTTGTCAGATTGCAATGCAGTACGTTGAAGACATGCAGCTTGTGAAAGGGTCATTAATTTTGATGTCCTGGTAATAAATTGTCTAAAGAACCTTAATCAATAAATTATTGTTATTAATAATACCAGTTCAATAGCATTTTCCATCTATCAGTCCTGGTTTATGCTGCTGCCTAAATCGATGTAAGTTATGTCGCTCAGGGGTGTGAAAAAATCACCCCTGTGAGCAACGTAGCTTATCTCAACCTAACACAGTGTCTACACCATGCTTTGTCGATGGAAGATGCTCTCCCGCCAATTTAGCTTCAACCTCTCGGGGAGGTGGAGTACTGAAGTCAATGGGAGAGGGCTCTCCCATCGACTTATCGCATCTTCACCAGACCCGCTAAATCAATGCCACTGAATCAATCACAGCAGCACCAATTTACCAGGCCAGTGTAGACAAGCCCTAAGTCTTCAAGCACTCTACAGTGGTGAATATCATTATCCTTAAGTTAAAGATGGGGAAGCTGAGGGACTAAGAATTTTGTCCAATGGTACACAGTGAGTCAGTGGTTCAGCTGGGTATAAAATCCCAGTCTCCTGGCTCTATTCCCTAGGTCAGGAGGGTCTCAAGTCAATGAAAAGATGCTGCTCAAGTACAAGGCCATTAAAAAGGGGGATTGCCTTCTTTCATTACCCTATAGGGCTCTTGTGCATCTTCATGGTGTGACATTATCAATATTTTCCTCTGTTACGATAGCATGGAAGTATTTCTGTGGAGTGGCAGAAAATATTTTGATTGGAGGCTGAAAACACGGAATCAAGTTAGTTATGGGATTTGGGTCATAAGCAATGGTCTGTAAAGAAAATGATCCAGTTAGATACCAAGGATCTGATTCAGGAAAACGCTTAAGAACGTCCTTAAAGTTAAGTTCATTCTTAAGTGCTGCCCTGAATGGGCACCTATTTGCATAAAGCCATAATGATAGCTTTGGACTTCCAGATTGTTCTCAAAGGTCTTACAGATGAACTATTATTACTAGATGTATTTTCTATTTTCAGCTTGCACTGTATTTACGGGAAACACATTTGCTCCATTTGGAACCCAAATGCTGATGTTAAAACTCCCTTCCCTATACCCAATTATTTGTAGCCATCTCTATCATCACATATTATTCTTTTAAAATATTTTTTTGGCGATGGTAAGTTCCCAGTGTAATTATTTTGCTTTGTATCAGTTCGGGAAATCCCTTCATGACAAAAATACCACAGTGGAGCCCTTCTATAGTTATAAAACAATCCAGTGGCCCGCATGCACTTTTCTGATGCTTTCCAACACTGTCTCAGAAGGCTGCTGTTAAGAGACAGGACTGGTTCAAATACACATTACAGAAAATCATCCTGACATACAATTAATCTCATTTTGCCTGGGCTCAACCACATTATTATATATTAACCTTGAGTCCTATTGGAATTATAAGCACTACAGTGCCATTAATCTCAAAGAGCTATACAAACTGTATGGGTAAGAGCCTCCGCTGATATAAATTCTCATTGCTCCATTGACAATGCTCCTTTGAAATCAATGGAGCGAATACAATTTACATCAGCTTACTATCAGCCCCAAAACTTTGTATCCATTCACCTACTTCGATCTGTCCCTCTTATTAAACCTATCAGTACATTGCAGCCACTCCTGATTTAGAAATTACAAACAAATTACACAAGAGTTTAGGAAAAGTAAAAAAAAAAAAAAAACATATTTAACTGAAACTGTAGTGGGAATGGGGATTTCTAGTGAGCGGTATCCAGGTTCTATCCAATTTTTAAGAATGCACACATACAAGTTCAAAAAATGTAAAGAAACAAAAATACTTGAATACTGAACACGACGGTTTGAAATACTTAATCAGATGGACATCAGATGCGTGACACTCATGTTAAAAAAACAATGCTCTATAATGGTTTATGTTCTCAATCTGTTGGTTCAAAAACCTGCAAGCTCCAAGGAAAATCCATGCCCTGTCTTTAATGGAAAACAGCTGAGAATTGCACATTAAATCCAAAAACCAGGCATACATTTAATACTGGGGGAAACGCTGACATAGCAAAACAAGCATAAAACTGGTTACTGTTCATTATTTATCTTAGATTTTCCTTCAGTTTGCTAGCTATAAAAAAAAAGTGTGTGTTTAAGTTAATGTTAGTTCCTTAATCCTGAGGTGAAGCTGAAATAGTAAATTGATGACATCACACCCATTTTCATGGCAACACTGTTACATTACCAAACACACAATTAGGAGTCCACTACAGAAATAGAATTGGCGCTAAAGAAGGAGAAAAACTCCTCTTTGAATGTAAAGATCTCAAATAAGTATAAAGGAGATATGAGGAATGACAGGGCAGATTAATGGCTTTATGTATTAATGGTCTAATTTTTTCCACATTTGCACAGTATGAAAGTCTTTTTACAAAGGTAACAGATGTTTAAAAAAGGGCAAAAAAACCCCGATGTTTAAAAACTGTGAAGGTTGTGATGTGACTCAATAAAAGCAAGGACACGGTGTTGTTCTTAACTCACTGTTTTTTCTTGTTTGGATCCCAGCTCAGCAAATACATGTTTAACTTTAAGCATGTGAGTAGTTCCATTAACAAGACAGTCAGTTTTAATACATTCTGTATTCTGATTTAATACAACTTACTCCATGTAGGTACTTCAAATCCAGGCAGCTTCAACTCAGCCCTTCATTTTTCCAAAGTATGTTGATTGTTTTCTGTATTTACCATGTCAAGCTCTTCTGTATCAAAGCCTGCCACAGTAAACAAAGATACTAAACCAAGACCGACCTATTTGTCCACATTGATGTTGATATTTAAGCTTAGCAAATATAACTGATCAAAGCTTGAGGGGAGGGAAAATCAGCTGAAACTTTGGTAAATTTGAGAGCGTTTTCCACTCTGTTCTGTTTCATAAAAGCCCAAGGTTTCATTTTCCACATATTCTGAGTTAGTTGTTGTTGCTTTGTTCTTTTTTTTTTTCAATGGAACTTTTTGCCACCAGAACGAGAAGCACAAGCGGAGTCGATGAGAGAGCATCAGCTGTCGACTTATGCAGTGACAACTCCGTGGTAAGTAGATCTAAGTACGTCGACTTCAGCTACGCTATTCACGTAGCTGAAGTTGCATACCTTGGATCGACCCCATGTGGTAGTGTAGGCAAGCCCTGAACTGAGAGAGTTAACAAGTGGAGTAGCATGAATGTCACTTTTGTGGTTATTTTATATTTAATCATTTATCACACATATAAGTGAATATATTGCTCCAGAGCCAGCGATCTCTTCGTTTTAGCTGCAGATTGCTCAAGCAAAAGACTTTTCCCACCGTGTTTCCTAGGCTAGAGTCTCTGTCTTTACTAGGCTTAGGCACTGACACAATCAAATTTGGTACCACACCTGAGGAAGGTCTAAGCCTTTCCTTTGGTACCAACAAGAGGGACCAAGGAACCACAGACATCTCTGGCATGCTCCACACCGAGGCTGATGAACTCGGTGCTCTCTCTGTGTGAAATGAGTCCAGTGGTGCCTGAAGTGCTGCCTCCCAGAGTAGACCCTTGAGCCTGACCACTCTGTCCTTTGAGTGAGGTTCAAACCATTTGTAGATGTGACATCTGTCGCTGGTGTGGGATTTTCCCACACACCAGGCATGGGTCACTGCCTGGCATGGATTTAGCACAAGTGTGGCAGGACATATACCCTGGTGAACATGGCATCGTTTTGGCACCCAGCCCTGTACTAAAGAATCAAAAATGTAGTCCAAAAGACCTAAGACTAAATCTATCAGTAAAAAAACTAGCTAAAACTAACTTATCTTAACTAACTAATTCCTAACGCAAAGGAGTGAGGGAAACACTTGTGATAAGTAGTCTAAGATCACTCCAACAACCATCACTGGCAGTAAGAAGGAACTGAAGGAATCAATGGGCAGCTCCATCCTCTTATACCAGTGCACAGCCGCGTAAGGCAATAGAGGGAGCTTGAGCTGACCTGATGGGTACCACTGAGGGAAAAAGTTCTCAAATAACTGTGCACGAGGCTAACACACACGTACAGCAGAATGGACGTGTGTGAGCACTTGAAGAAGAACTGCATAAGTCAATTCAAGAAGGAGCTGGACACATTTGTGGAAGAGAAAAGACTACAAAGATGCAATTACTAGAGATTGGGGATCGCAATAACGAGATACAGGTTGACTCACATTTTGCTGGGTTTATAATAAGTCACCTTTAATGACCTACACAGCCTCCTCTTGACCCCTAACTTTTTGGTGGTTTTTCAGAGATCAAATGACTATTTTCTTCATTCATAAGAAACACTTTTTAAAAAGTTAAAAAGGTTCAAATAAGCACTGCTGTGTGCACAAATCTAGTTGCAATGAGCTACTATTAAGCAGTGAAATGCCCATGGTCCACACTGGCCAAATAAGTTCCTGAAGTTTGTGAGTAATACACTGACGGTGTGTGTGATGTAGCCAATATTATATTTAGTCTTGAGGGGATGACAAGCTAGCGTCAAAGTGGTAATGCACTGTGCTTGCACACAGGAATCTGAGATAACATATTCAATTGGTCAATTGGGCCTCGGTTTGGCAATAGGTTATAGAACTGATGGTCTCATGTATAACAATGGAGGGAGAGAGGCCAAGAAGATTTTATGTTGCTACAATGGGGGCTCACCGCAGGACCATTCTGGTGGGATGCAGGACTTTAAAGTAGGCTTCTGAATGGATGGATCAGTGCCAGAAAGGTCCTAATAGAGCAACAGAGTGTGCCTAACATTGCCTGGATGAGTAAGATGTTTGAGGAGGAAGTCTGAAGAGATGTGACAGCGTCTAATGTAAGACTGCAATTATTTCTGATTTTTTTCACCACTAGCAGTAAATGCAGTTACAATCGTTACCAACTAGCGTTGCTTCCCAAACCAGAGGCAACAACAAATCATGAGGAACTCACTTAGGAATTCTCTCTTGCCTCTTTCCATTTGTTATCAGTTCCGCAGCTGAGGGTTATGTGAGCATGCTGTATGAAGAAATCATAAGCAAAATACAGAGAGCAGCATGAAAGCGCAACTCTTCACCTTTGTTACTTGTGTAGATCTATTTAAAAAATGTCCATGATCTTACTGACTTACAATGACTGCTGGATAGAGCTGGTCAAAAATTGGAATTTCTGTCCTGCAGGAAATTCCGTAATTTGTTTTCATCCTGAATTGTGGTGAAAAGTCAAAACTTTGAAATTTTTGGTGGAACAGAAAGTTCCAAAATTTTTATTTCTGAGTGATTTTATGAACTGAATTCAAACATTTTATTTAATTTGGTTTGACACTCACCTATGTAACTCTGAGCTGAGCAAAGCCTCATGGGAGTTGTAGTTCGAATGCCCTGTGCCCCCATTCTCTACCATGGGCTGGGCTCTTGCATCGGTTCAACCAGAGGAGAGACTGTAGTGCGATCTCGGAGATCAGTAGTCCAGCCAAGGACTGTAGCCTATAGAGAAGTGTGGAATGAGGCACCCAAACTACACCTTCCATGAGGCATTGTGACCACTCAGACAGTTTAATAGCAAACTGACCTGAAATGAAATATTTGAATTCAGTTAGAGGAACCAAAATATTTTGATATGGGCTGACATGAGCTGAAACAAAATATTTTGTTTTGATTTTCTCAATGCACAATTGAAAAATGTTGGCAAAACTGAAATTTTTGCATGGAAAGTTTTTATTTTGTGGGAATTCATTTTCTGTGGAAAAAAATATTGTAACAGAAAATTCCCGATCAGCTCTACTGCTGGATTTGATCCCTTTAAGTATAACCAGAGCCGTCCCCAGGGCAACCGCTCTGGGCCCCACTCTTTGGGGGGCCCCGCACTTCGACATCACGGTGTCAGATGGGGTGAAGACAGCAGCTGTCTGCCCTGAGCAGTGAGAAGATCAGGCAGAGGCAGCCAGTGAGCAGGAGACACCGTGGTGTGTCTGGCCCTACCTCCCTCCAGACAACTGGGCTCCCCCATGGCACCAGCACACAGATGTTGTGCTGGCAGATGGGTGCTGCGCACGCAGCTCCCCTGCCCCGCATGCCCACCCTAGTCCCGCCATTATTCGAATACGGAGGCCAGGGAGTGTGGAGATCCCAACCCAGGCTGGGCAGGAGGCAGCACTGTCATCCAGCGGACAGGCACACCCGACCACTTTGCGCCAGATAAGCCTCCTCGGCCCACGCCCCGTGGAGCAGCTGCAGCCCCATTGCCCCCACCAGCGTGCCCCTTGCCCCATCTAGCGCCCCCGGGGGAGAGTCAGTGCATCCCCTGCCCCAAGGGGTCCCATACAGGCTGATTTGTCCCAGGCCCCGCAACCCCCTAGGGATGGCCCTGAATATAACAGTTCTCCCTGGCCTTTGAATTCTCACCCAGAACTATGTCAGTTGTGTAAATAACAACCACTCACTACGTCTGTGTATGAGCCACGAAATGGCACATATTTCTGAATGATATGAGTAGTAAGGTCATATCTCCTGTTATTTTTCAAATCCTAACTGATGATTATGACATCTCCACTCATCTGTCATTGAAATATACATAAGAAGGTTTAGTTTTCTATTTAAAGGCTGTGCAGAGGTTTGAGTACACATTTCACTGTCTTTAGTGATAAATTCCTGTTTCTTATAAACAAAGGATCCGTTTGGGTCCTATTTACCTCACTCAGGGCCAGGAAAGCAGCACAGTTTCTGAAAGTTATCCAGTGGCATGGTGCTAGATCTGGCTTTTAAGAGAGCTGGGTTTTGTACCAGCACTGCAACTGTGGATCAGATTTATAAATATATTTAGACACCTGAAAATGCAGATCAGTGCCAAGTGGGATTTTTCAAAAGTGTCTAGGCACCTAACTCCCACTGAAATCAATTACAGATAAGTAGACATGGCATAATCCTTCTGTTAGGATTTCAAAAATAACAGGAGCTCTAACCTCACTGCTTGTATTTTTAAGAAATAGGTACTAGTTAATGGCTGATTCATGGACTGAAATCAATGGGAGTTAGGCATTTACATGCCTATGAAAAACCCACTTGGCACCTAAATATCTTTTAAAATCTCATGCCTGTGTGGCCTAAAAAAAGCCACCACATCTCTTTGGGCCTCAGTCCCCCAGCCAATAAGATGAAGATAATGCTACTTATATTATAAAATACAGATACTGTATTGCTATTATTAAACCAACCGCTTGGGTGTCAGCTCTGCATAAGGGCAAAGGAAACGTAGTGCAATGTTAATGTTAAGTCAACTAAAAAAACCTGTGAACCCTGGAACAAAACTCAGTGGATTAGCAATTGAATATATATATATTATATATATAACTCAGTTCCAAATTGTGATTTGTTTTCAACACAATATAGGGGTCAGAGGAAGAAAATCCTAACTGCAGCAAAGCACTTTGATAACCCTAATGCATAATCTTATGTAAACACAAATGATTTCTTCATGAGAGTTATTGTTGAGAGATGGTATACAATGAATGATGGAAAAGGAGTACTTGTGGCACCTTAGAGACTAACCAATTTATTTGAGCATAAGCTTTCGTGAGCTACAGCTCACTTCATGTATTGACACTTCTCTTTCACTTGGGGATGAATCTTAAAGGCTTTTGCAGGGTGTGCTTTGACATTGTGATATAGAGTTTACTGATTAGTCATGAGACAGATGGCAGTGAACTCTATTAAGTGCAAATAAACATCTCACCCATTGTCCCACATGCTGGTGACCCTCAATTTAAAACAGGCTATCTTAAAGAATGCTTCTGAATTAGAGCCAGCATGTCTATTACACTAACCAACTGACTCACTTAGTGATCACTGCTTCCTGAGTGACATCTGACCATACAAAATGGAATCACCATCCAAAACTGAAATGAAGTAAAACTGCTCAGGCTATCAGAAATTCTGCCAGAATTGGAGAGCCCGGAATAAAAAAGGTCTGTTATTTTGTTTGTATTTGTTATGTGGCAGAGAGACACTAGAGTAGACTAACCCAATTAGCACAGTACGTGTCACCTGCTGGCTGGATTTCTTGTGTGGACATTCTGTACCTCACTGCAGATCTCACACAAACCAGGCTCCATGTGGTCCAAAGGACTGGGCTCAGCATCTTTCTACTAGAACACTTTCCACAGTGGACACCCGTAAAAACTCACCAGCTATAGATTAGGAGCCTGATCTAAAACTAACAGAAAGCCTCTTACTGATTTATTGAGCTTCTGATAAGCCAAACATAGGAATCAATCAATATCAGCAGTATTCCCTGTATTTGTAAGAAACAACACCTAGAATGCTGAAAATGCTGAACTAATATTATTTAGTGGGCCAAGGGACTGTCTGTGGAAACTAGAAAGATTTAGAAGGGTGACCACTCCCTGCCTGTGTTACACCTTTCACATGGCTAAGGCAACTCTGAAGTTTAGGAAACAGGAATATAAAAATACTCACAGGTCGATAGATCTTGTAAAGATAACCGACAGGGTAAGAAGAATGCACCCAAATGGACCAGTTTCAAACTGGAAAAAAAAAAGTTCCACTGTGTTTACATTTGTTTGTTCATTGAACATGCTTTTCAGCCCTAGCATAAGGAGATGCACCTCCAATTGGGGTCAATAAGACTCACTCCCATTTACATTATGGTCTGAATTTGGTCCTTTATCTTTTTCAAACATGGGACGCATCAGTGTCATACCCAAAATGTTGTTTATACAGTTTTCTACAAAACGTTAAATACTGAAAAAATAACAGCTGAACAATGACAAGTTTAATTTCCTCTCCATGCATCATACCTGATGAATATTCTGCTGAAGAAAAATGGTCAGATCTTCATATTTTGTGATGCTATGTAGTATTAGCTGTAACAAAATGTAAAATAATGTAATTAAAATAGATAATAATAAGCTGGTATAAATCAAGCCTGAATTATTTAATCAAGATTTAACCAAAATCTGTATGTTTGGCCAGATCCTCAGCTGGTGTAAATTGGATCACATCCATTTTGAAGCCCATGATGTTCACAACTCTCACTTTTTTCAGCAATGTTACTAAAATGAGAGAGACAACACTGGTAAGGTAGTATCTGGTCAAGTATTATCTTACGTACTTTGCCATGCTCATATCCTGGGACCAAGACGGTTACAACAACACTTACCAAAATAACATACTTTAAATCCTATTTTAGCTATAAAATTCATATATTCTGAGAGCTCTTTTAAAATGTTAGTTCCTGATATGTGAAATTTATTGCATGGAAGTTCATTATTAATTTAAGAATGATCTGTGGGTGGAAGGGCGATTCCTGGAGCCAGCTTCTGAATACCAAATCACTGGTGATTTTTAAGAGCAGGTTAGACAAACACCTGTCAGGGATGGTCTAGATCAGTGGTTCCCAAACTTGTTCCACCGCTGGTGCAGGGCCGGGCCGGTTTGTTTACCTGCCGCGTCCGCAGGTTTGGCGGATCGCGGCTCCCAGTGGCCACGGTTCACTGCTCCAGGCCAATGGGAGTTGCTGGAAGCGGCAGCCAGTATGTCCCTCGGCCTGCACCACTTTCAGCAGCTCCCATTGGCCTGGAGCAGTGAACCGCGGCCACTGGGAGCCGCGATCAGCCAAACCTGCAGACGCGGCAGGTAAACAAACTGGCCCGGCCCACCAGGGGCTTTCCCTGTACAAGCAGAGAACAAGTTTGGGAACCACTGGTCTAGATAATACTTAGTCCTGTCATGAATGCAGGGGACTGGGCTAGATGACCTCTCAAGGTCCCTTCCAGTCCTACAGTGTCTGTTATTTAAACAGTATCTGTTCTTTATCACTGATTTACACCCCTTGATTTTGAGGGGAGTAATAGTCTTGAGGCCAAATCATGGGACTCAGGGTCAGGAGAGATGGTTATATTTCTGGCTTTGTCATGGGCTTCGTGTGTGATTGTGAGAAAGCTCTTCTTCCCATTCTGTCTCAGTTTTTGAGGATAAAAATATTTCCCTAATTCACGGAGGTATTATTTGTAAGGCTTAATGCATTATTGCTTTATTAAAACAATTCCATCTTCAGATGGAAAAAAATGCGTAAGTGGAAAGAATTTAGTTTACAATTAATTATTTATTAATCAGAAAAACAAAGGGCGAGGAATACTGTAGGAAGGACAAGAAGGGAAAATCAGGGTTTCTTTCTCTGACAGTGTTGTGAAGAGCTATGGAAGGATCCATTTCCAGATCTCTTCTACTAGAGGGGAAACTGCTATTACTTGGGGCCTGGGAGAGGAGAGGGAACGAAAGGAAAGGAAAAAGGAGGATGTCGGAAAGCCCAATTCCCATTGAAGGGTGAGGTAGTTTGGGAGCCAATTATGTCACTTCCTCTTTGATTCTCCTCTGACAAGTAAATTAGAGTAATTACAGTGGTGTCAGTAGAGTTAAACCTTGGTCAGCCAGGGGAGAATCAGGCCCATTACACTATATATGTGAAGTTACAAAATATATTACAGGAAGATTACATATAAAACCTTACTGTTTCAAAGATTCCATCTGCTTTGTATTTTCCTGCTGGAGTGAACTGCTGCCTTCCTGAAGACCTAAAGAGGAGAATTAAATGAAACAGCAATTCATTTTAGAAGAATCAACAACACAACAAAGAGAAATCCATGGGCTGTAATGAATTGGAAGACTAAACAAAAAAAAAGTGACGATAAATAAGACCTTTGGCTTTTTTAATACTACTTTATCTGAGCTCTGATTGCCTTTAGATTTGTTTGCAACTGATCAGTTCATGTTTCTGTATCTAGAAAGAAAAAAGGTATAGATGGAAGAACTTACTGAATTTTTTCATTGCAACAAAATAGAAGAACAATAATATCATAACAAAAGTAGAACAGACATTCAAAGTCTCTTCTGAGTTACCCACTGTAGTTGAAAAACATTTAAAAATATAATTACAATAGTCAGTGAGCTGCTTTGGGAAAGTTCTACTTCCAGATTAATAGGAAGGAATTCTCATAAAAAACTGTCCCATTGAATGGGGCCAGGAATTCACCCTGAGATTTCTCTAACTATTAGGACAGGTAACTCCAGCGAGCATGTGCCCATTAGCAATAAACCCTTTCAGACTAAACGGATACATACTGACCTTCGAACATAGTGATAGCTACTTAGGAGTATAAACAGAAACAGTCATTTTATACACACATGAGAGTCTTACATGATAATTAAAAATGCTCCTCCCACTTACAGTGCAACCACAGCTTTTTCACTGCCCCCTGCACGCCATAAAATATCTGCAATAGCCAGGGTGAGGCATTTGGTCCTATGAGCGTCTGAAGGCTGCAGACACCTGTTGTTTTTGGATATATGAGAAACAAGGAAAAAATCACAGTTAGTGAGACAGCCCTGTAAAAGTGAACATCTCTTTCAGTGTGCACAGGTTCACAGCAGGTGTGATATGTACAAAGGCCCAGATCCTCAAATGTATTTAGGCACCTAAATCCCATTGAAGTCAAAGGGAGTTATGTACTTAAATACCTTTGAGAATCTGAGACTAAATGAGTAAAATCAATGAGTAGAGTTGCCTCACGCAGGACATTCTCTTTGCACTGCTAGAACATGCCTAGTACACTATGCATGATACACACTAACTTCTTTAATTCTGGAGGTTTAACTTTAAAGGGCAGTCTCTGTTTTTTTACAATTCACTTACGAGGAAAGATTCACATACATTAGCATGTGGAGCCTGGTGAAGCAAAGACTGGGTGGAGGGATCATGATAAAGGATGTCAAGTAATGAGGCAGAGAATTATTTAGCATAATATAAAAGCTTATAACTAGGAATAAAGTGGCAAAAATCAAGACAGCCAATTTAGGCTGGATAGTGGGAAATACTTTTAGACAGTGAGATCTACAGTAATAGGCTATGGATTAAACTTCTAGGGGGAGCAGTACAAACTCCATCAGTAGGCACATTTAAAATTAACTCAAAATACAAGTAACTGTCCCTTGGGGACTAATCTTGCACTGGCAGGAAGTTTGACCAGGTGTCTTTATATATCTTTTCCATCTCTACATTCTATGATATGATTGTTTTATATGCTGAATATGCTTTATAGTCAAAAAAGGCCTTCAAATTTCATTTCAGTCCTAACTCTGAATGATTTAGCTTTTGTTGGCTTGAAGCCTAAGCCTGAAAATCCTTATCTACTAATTGACTTTATTTACAATGTCACGTGCTGTAAATAAAATACATTGCATTTGTGCAGCACCTTTCACCAAAGGATCTCTAAGCTCTTTACAAAAATTATTTGCTAAGTCTCACAATACCCCTTGAGATAGGTAAGCAATATTATTCCAGTTTTACAGATGAATTGGACCACTGGAAAAAGGTGAATATAATGCCCAACTTTAAGAAAGGGAAGACGGAGAATCCAGGGAACTACAGACCGGTCAGCCTCACCTCAGTTCCTTGAAAAATCATGGAGCACGTCCTCAAGGAATCCATTTTGAAGCAGTTGGAGGAGAGGAAGGTGATCAGGAACAGTCAACATGGATTCACCAAGGGCAATTCATGCCTGACCAACCTGATTGCCTTCTATGATGAGATAACTGGCTCTGTGGATATGGGGAAAGCGGTGAATGATATGCCTTGACTTTAGCAAAGCTTTTGATATGGTCTCCCACAGTATTCTTGCCAGCAAGTTAAAAAAGTATGGGCTGGATGAATGGACTATGAGGGGACTAGAAAGTTGGCTAGATCATTGGGCTCAACGGGTAGTGATCAATGGCTCCATGTCTAGTTGGCAGCCGGTATCAGTGGAGTGCCCCAGGGGTTGGTCTTGGGGCCGGTTTTGTTCAACATCTTCATTAATGATCTGGATGATGGGAAGGATTGCACCCTCAGCAAGTTTGCAGATGACACTAAGCTGGGGGAGAGGAAGATACGCTGGAGGGTAGGGATAGGGTCCAGAGTGACCTAGACAAATTGGAGGATTGGGCTAAAAGAAATTTGATGAGGTTCAACAAGGACAAGTGCAGTGTCCTGCACGTAGGGCGGAAGAATCCCATGCACTGCTACAAGCTGGGGACCGACTGGCTAAGCAGCAGTTCTGCAGAAAAGGACCTGAGGATTACAGTGGATGAGAAGCTGGATATGAGTCAACATGTGCCCTTATTGCCAAGAAGGCTAATGGCATATTGGGTTGCATTAGTAGGAGCATTGCCAGCAGATCGAGGGAAGTGATTATTCCCCTCTATTTGGCACTGGTGAGGCCAAATCTGGAGTATTGCATCCAGTTTTGGGGCCCCCACTACAGAAAGGATGTGGACAAATTGGAGAGAGTCCAGCATAGGGCAACTAAATGATTAGGGGGCTGGGGCACATGAGTTATAGGAACTGGTCCTATTTAGTCTGCAGAAAAGAAGAGTGAGGGGGGATTTGATAGCAGCCTTCAACTACCTGAAGGGGGGTTCCAAAGAGGATGGAGCTCAGCTGTTCTCAGTGGTGGCAGATGACAGAACAAGGAGCAATGGTCTCAAGTTGCAGTGTGGGAGGTCTAGGTTGGATATTAGACAAAACTATTTCACTAGGAGGGAGGTGAAGCACTGGAATGGGTTACCTAGGGAGGTGGTGGAATCTCCATTCTTAGAAGTTTTTAAGGCCCTGCTTGACAAAACTCTGGTTGGGATGATTTAGTTGGGGTTGGTCCTGCTTTGATCAGGGGGTTAGACTAGATGACCTCCCGAGGTTTCTTCCAACCCTGATATTCTATGATTCTAATTAAACTGAGGCACAGAGAGGTTAAGTGATTATAGGACCAAAAGTTGTAAATTGAGAAACTGGCAGACCTCTGAATAGAACCTAGGGGTCCTGACTCCTAGCCCCTTGCTCTAACTACTAGATAATACACCCTCCCAAATGGGAAGTTTGGAGTCTTTCTCCACTGGTTTTAACGGTGCCCTCTTTGAGCTTTAGACAATATCAGTCTTAGAGCACTGCCAGCCTGAGAGATGAGGTAAAAAAAACATTTGCAGCACTTGAATTAAAAGATCTAATAATTCAAAACACTAAACATCAACCAATAAAAATTAAAAAACAGATTTTTAAGTTCTATGTCTGCCTGGAATATAATGTTTAGTGAGAAAACTCTTCCCTCTCTGAGGACGTGGGGCATTTGAACTAATAGATGAGAGAACTCAGGTTAAAAAAAAAATGTGCCCATAGCCTTTTCACATGTTCTTGTAGCCTAGCTGAGTTGTTCAGGTATTTGTGGGCAGTGCCAAAATTATATTCAGTGGATGGAGGAGGTAAAGGAACAATAAGAAAATCCATTATTTTATTCATGTAGCTAGAAGAAATCTGAAGCCTAGTGCTTGATGTGAAGCAGTCACCACCTTGAAAAGGCAGGTACGTTAGAAAAAGATGTTTATTTACACAGTTCAACCATGGAGACTCTTGTCCTTTTCTGATCAAGAATCAGCTTCCACTCTATGCAGACACATCTGAAGAAAAATATGCCTCTCTCATGAATAAAACAACCCATCTCGCTATTCAAGTTTTACATGCCTGAAGGCCTTTTTTGTTTCTGCCCATAAAGATAAAGCGTTTGCCTGTTAACCAGAATTCTTTTGGGAATTTCTTCATACTTCGTCCGTCCTTCTCATACACAAAATAGGGGAAAATAAAATCTTTTAGAATGACGAGGATGAGAAAAACGAGGAGAGGAGAACAATTTCCAGATAAACAGGGCTGGGAGAAAAAAATTTAAAAGCAAAAAAAAATTTAAAAGCAAAAGCACTTTAAAGCAAAAAATCTATCTTAGGTACTTATATGGCTGCCATCACCCTAATATCTGAGCCCCTCACAACCATCCTGTAAGTTAGGGAAGTGCTATTATTCCCATTTTACAAATGGGGAATTGAGAGACAGTGAAACGAAGGACCAGATATTCAAAGGTGTGTAGGTGCCCAAAGATGCAGTAGATGCCTAGAAGGATTTTCAAAAGTGCCTAAGGAGATTTGGCACCTAATTCCCATTGATTTAATTGATGGACTTAGGCATCTAACCTGCTTAGGCACTTTTGAAGATCCCATTAGGCACCGAAAAACTATTAAAAATCTGGCTGTGACTTCCCTAAAGAAGTCTGAAGAGCTGGGAATTCAACCCTCATCTCCTAAGAACAAGGACAGCATCCTAACCGCTGAATCTTTCTTGCTCTCCTTTTTGTAAACTACCAAATATCAGACTCCATTTTTCCATTAAACATGAAACCCCAAGCCTCTTAAATGTTCTGGGCCACATTTAGCCCCAGAAAAAGAAGGAAGATTTCCCATTGATCTCCAAGATGAAATTAGGTTCCTGGTCCTCATGGTCAGAAAATGATCCTTTACTGACTCCAAAGGAGATGCCTACGCAATAAACTCTAAAACTGAATTTAAGCCTCATGGTGGTGTCAGATATCTACAATATGAACAAAGGTTAGAAACTGTCTTCAAAAATATACCATCATATCTGAAAGACAATAGACTGTTACATATTTCTTAATGCTCCTTTAGCCAGTGCTTGAGCCACCCCTGAGTTGATTTCTTAGTTGACCTATATGTCAGATGTCATCAATTTGCAATGTGTTAATAATTTCCCCCTCCATTGAAACTAATTTTTGTTCTCACTGCATTGAGAAAGAAATGATTTCTGTTATATTTCCCTCATATTCTCTAATACGATGAACCAGACATAGTCCCTTCTAAAATTCAGGAAATTTCCTGTCTCCTTGTCCAAACTGGAGCATGGCACCACAATGTAAAACATGGTCGATCACTGTGTATTTTAATAAGTCTGTTCTGAACGAGAGGCTAGCTGGTGGAGCTACGGACAGATATGCTCTTCTGGAAGAATTGAGAAAAAATGAAGAAACAAAATAACAAAAATTGTGGAACTAACATGATTTTACACCCTGTTTGTTTGGAACTCTCTCCCAGAAGTGGTCTGCCAGAATCATTCACTGGCTGCCTTGGATGATTCAAATCACATGCCCTGCAAGAGACTCATCCCTGAGGGTTTTAGGGGCCTCTCCCCAGTTCTCTTGGTTTACTGTGTCTCATGTCTTTCCATCCCCATTCTATCTGTCAGTGAGGAATCAGTCCTTTTCACCTGGTAAGGTGGCTTCCTCATGATTATGGGGTTGATTCTTGTGCCAGGGATCCCTACCTTTGAAAGCAGGGTTACTTTAGTTTGGATAGGTTGGGAGAGTTGGTTCTTTATTTGATTTTAATGTTTTACATTCTTTTTTCTATGACACTGACTGTCTCTAACTGTAATCAGAGGTGTGAATGCAGTTCGTGCAGGTATACGCACGCTAACTTTAATCTAGGTTGCACGGCTAAAAAAGAGCAGTGAAGATGCAGTGACACGAGACTCAGCACAGGCCTTCCTGGTACCCTGAGTATTTGTATTCCTAGTCTGTACTGGGGTCCATGGTGCCTCATCGCCCACTGCTATTTTTAGCTGCACTAGATAAATCAAAGTGAGGTTGGGTATAGCTACATGTGTTGTAATCACGCTGCCAACTCCAGCATACACATATCCTTAAAGACATATTAATCGGTACCTCATAAATATTAGAAATAAGGGCCACCTCTGACAATACATGTATACATACAAGAATTTGCTACCCCAGCAATAGCTGTCTCTGCCTTATCATCTCCAGTTAGAATTCCCTTTTTCCTAGTAAAGCTACCAAACAGCCTATTTCGAAACCCACATTTGCACGGTGCAGTCTCCGTTATGAAATTTAATGAAAGGATGAACCAGGGAAGTTGTGCCCAAGAGCTTGACAATATCCCTCAATAAAATGAGGCTTACATTTAAAAATCTATTCAACTGAGTTTAAAATAGGCTACCGTGTATACTGCGTGTGTGTGTGTGTGTGTGTGTGTATTCACAGTATATGTTTGCCTAAGTAACCTAGATTAGGGATTTGAGATAGCTGTCAGATAGTGAAGTTGTTTTTATCAGAAAAAGACAAATTGAAATATATATATATATATATATATTCAAACAGAATATTCTTTATCTAAAGACAAATCAAAATAATATTTTCCATTAAAGTGTAATATTTTCAAATGACAAAACAATTAAAATGCCTTAACTGATATCATATCATTAGAGCACTAATTTCACACTAGTGTCATAAAGAGATTACTGAGAAAAGTGAAGTTAAACAAACAAAGATTGTGGTTAAAAAGAATGTTTTAAAAGGTCAGCACCAGGCTCATCTCTGATTCTTCCCTCTGCTGGACATTTCTTTCAAGCACTCCACCAGCTTTGAATCTGATGCCTAAATATTATACATAAGAACATAAAAATGGCCATACGGGTCAGACCAAAGATCCATCCAGCCCCGTATCCTGTGTACCAACAGTGGCCAATGCCAGGTGCCCCAGAGGGAGTGAACCTAACAGGTAATGATCAAGTGATCTCTCTCCTTCCATCCATCTCCACCCTCTGACAAACAGAGGCTAGGGACACCATTCCTTACCCATCCTGGCTAATAGCCATTAATGGACTTAACCTCCATGAATTTATCCAGTTCTCTTTTAAACCCTTTTATAGTCCTAGCCTTCACAACCTCCTCAGGCAAGGAGTTCCACAGGTTGACTGTGCGCTGTGTGAAGAAGAACTTCCTTTTATTTGTTTTAAACCTGCTGCCATTTAATTTCATATGGTGGCCCCTAGTTCTTATACTGTGGGAACAAGTAATTAACTTTTCCTTATTCACTTTCTCTGCACCACTCATGATTTTATATACCTCGATCATATCCAAGTACAATGCCAGGTATAGTACAACAGACAGATTAGCAAGTGTGGGGCTTCTTGAGCTGGCAATATTCTAAAGAGCGATGACCTCTCAAGTTCCAGATATTACTGTTATGTTACTATCTACTCAAGAATGATGGGACTGAACCATTATCTGCTAAATGCTGATTCTTGTGGAGCTCTTTTTGAGCTGATGCTGTGGAGGTGAGTGCAGTATAAGAATCTAAATATAATAGGATAGGGATCACAAACATCATTTGACATTTGGGAACGTACCAATGTAATTTTTGCATGTTCAACATTTTTTTGTTTAGTTGAGAAACAGAGAGAGAGAGAATTTTAGTCCCATCCAACGTATAAGGCTCAGCCTGTTTTCGAGAGGGTATAAAATACAATGGGGTAGCTCCCAAACCTCAACTTTTTTTTCCTTCACAGCTGTGGGAGTGAAGGTGAGGAACTAATAATTGATTTGCAGATTTACACCAGTGTGACAATGGGCAGAATTTGGCCTCTGGTATTTTCATTTTGGGCCTATGTTGAGATTAGTTGGCTAGCAGTGCTGACTTATGCCCATCTATGCACTAATGGTGTCTTTAGGACAGATGAGGAATAAAATAAGATCCAAAAATAGATTTTTAATTTTAGACTAACATATAATTTGAACCCAGGTCTCCAGCAATTAGAGACATGTGCAATCACTGTTTCACTTTGAGGACATACCCCCTGAGATTTAGGAGTGGAGATCCAGAATTGTTCACAGAACAGTTTAACTGCTAATTCTCTCCCATTTTATGTCAAATCATAATTTTGGCCCTTGAAACACTCAAAATTGTATATTACATCATCAAGAATCACTGCAGAAAATCTTAACAGATATCACATAGTTTCCACAAGAATCTGCATATATTGGTGCAGATTCTCTTTCTCATGTAAAAAGTCCTTTGTCCCATTACACAATTCCGGCAAGGAAAGGGAATTTTAAAGTGGAAGTAAATTACACTTACACTCACTTTAAGTGTACATGGCCATTTACAAGGCCAGAGTGAAGTCCTAATGGGGCCAGAATTTCTGTCCACAAGTAGAGAAAGGGGCTAAGAGACCATTTTTAACGGTGTTTAGGCACCTAAAGATGCAGACAGGCACTAAAACCTTTTCAAAAGTGTCTAGGTGCAGAAATCCCATCAAAATTAATGGGAATTAGGTGTCCATGTGCTTATGAAAATCCCACTAGGATAAAATCCCACAGTGAATAAGATTTGTCTCTTTAGCACAGACAAAAATGCTGCGTTCACTGAGTTTATTAGAACATAGCAAGTAATTTTCCCTTGATGCTATGAATATCCTGTAACTTTTCTGTAAAGTAATTAAAAGACATACACAGTTTTTAAACCCCATTAGGGACTTTAGCTGTGTAAAATTAGAAAGGAAAAGAGCTGGTATGACTAACTTTTTGCAAGTTCATTGGGATTTTATATTGCCATGAAAGACCCCATGCATAGCATGGTCTTACAATACATGATTGCATTCTCTTTGAAATCATTGCTTCACCATGGGACTCCGCAGGTTCAGTAACTGATGCTGGCCATAATTTAGGGTTTCTTTTTTTAGAACGGTTCTTGGTTAATCACAAAAAACTAGTATGTTAATGAAAAGCTAGCCTTTAAAATCCACTGTTTAAAGGCAACTTCTATTAGCCTCAAGAAGAACAAGTAAAGCCGTTGGCACTTTCTCTCTTCTGGATACAAATGCAAGGGCAAGAGGGCCAAGCTTAGAAAGGCTTTTTTCTGGCCACACTAAGATAAAGTTTTAGTTTAATTTAGAATGGAAAATATTTCTTGTGTCAGCTGTTGACTCACCGCACATCGCTGTTTCTGTTACTGTCTCCAAAGAGAAGTTGTTGCAGGACACAGGCTTGAACTGCGGCCAATACTCCACATGGGCCTCCCTAAAGCGAATAATACACTGGATGAACAAAACAACTAGCACTGTTTGATGCTGGTGAGAACTTTTCACAACCCTTATGTTTTCATTCAAGTTTAAAGCCATCCTTTGATCTATCTGTTTTGCTTACTGAATTTGCTGCATTTTGCTGCTTTTTGAAGCCACTGAAAAGTCAGCATTACTAATTGAGGTTCTGTTTCCTCTGTGTTTTGTCTGAAAGTCCCTAGAACATACCGTACAGACATCTTTGAAGCCAAGGACAGGAGTTTTATCTACTCCACCATCAAGCAAAAATATTCCTCCTAATGCCCCTTGAACATGCACCTTGTCTGAAGATGAAAAAAAACCTGAAGGTCTATATTCCTACTGGGTGAAATTAACCCCTAGGCAGAGCCAGCCCCCCCCCCCCCCGCCATCAATTCATGAATTAAATCCCATACAAACTCTCAAAATAGGGTTTCAGTGGTGCATATGTCTAGTGTGGGCCCTCTACACAGGGAAGAATTTCACCCACGGAGAGTAACAGGGAGAGAGAGAAGTTGTGTGCTAAATGGGCTTGATTCAGACACTGTCATGGGAAGATGAAAAGCCCCTCTCTCTGCATATGTTACTGTTCTCAAGTCCAGGTTCATACTTAAATATATGAGCCAACCCTTTATAACCTTGTGCATTAATGTGATCTGCCATCTTAGACCATTATCAAACACAGGTCAGCCACAACACTGTTTAAAGAATATAAAAGGCTTCAATCTACTCTTCTGCCAAAGTCCTAGAGAGGCATGGCCCATCACAAGCTCACATTTTAAACTGCATCCAGTTATGCAATTTTTATCTAGTTAGCAACTTCATTTTGTTGCTTATTATTGGTATGTGCAACGCCATGCACAATGGGGCCCCATGCCCCAAATGAGGCCCCTAGGTGCTACCACAATATAAATAATAGATAATAAATGCATTTAGTCCAGAACAAATATACAGCAGAGAAACTTAACTTTTTCTTCACTCTCTCAATAAATCATTTAAATAACTAATGAGTGAATCTTTGGAAAACTGACTTGCGGAAAACAGCAGGGTTTATTTCAGTCTGTCAAGGAAAGCTCCCAATATTAAAAGTTTACATGAAACACAGCAATTGTTTAATATCACTCAGAACTACTACAGTTTAACAACTGAAGTGAAACAGAGAAACTAACACTGTAAAGCATCACTATACAACCAGTTAAGTGAAGTCAAGTTAGGAAGTGAAGAGAAAAATACAGTATCCATTTGAAATTTACAAATGTAACAAGAATTCCAGGGTTTACTCCCCTTCTCTTGGTCTCCATAGGAACTTTAATGGCCAAAGATGTTCTAGACCTCAAGGTGATGGCACCTCTTCTAGCAGAGTGTTTCCTAAAGCAATGGTTCAGGATTGACTTAAAGGAATAAATGTCACCTACTGATTCCCCATACTTCCTGGTGCACCCTGAGTTTTCTTCTGAAGTTTTCCATCTAGCCCAACTTTCCTTACAAGATTTAGCTATTTTGAAGATTTCTGAAGTAAAATTCCATTCATTAACCAGTGATGAAAAAGAAAAAGGAATATCTTTTAACGAAGGATGGCTTCTTTTATTAAGGTAACACACAACTTCTGGAAACTTTAGGTTAAAGGTAAAGATCATTGAGCTTTTAAGGAAGTCATCTACTGTACCTTTTTTTGCACGATGCCATATTTTAGCTGTGGTATACTATTAAATGTAAAGTTCTGTATTTTCCATTCTTCACTGAAGCAACAAAGGCTTGAGCCAAACAAAAGATTTTTTATTTCCTACAAAAAAAAAGAAAAAGGGAAAAAAGCTCTCATTTTAAAAACAAATCCAATAGGTATATTTTCTTTCCATAATTTATAAGAATGGAGGCATGTGGCAGGATAATTACTAACTCTATATAACCACCCTTTTAATTTTTGTTTTATAAATACTGTAAATAGCAGGGCAATTCCACTGAAAAGGAGTCATTTTTTCCTTTTCCTGCAATGTTCCTTCAACACATAATGCTATGTGTTGCTCAGCATTATGAGCTTTTTTCTGTAGATCATTGGATAAACGGTGCTTCTTGAAATGTTCACAGAAGACAGCCTCAAACTTAACTACGAGAGGAATAATATGTACTACTGGTTAAAAAAAAAAGATTATCGCTATGGTCTTCTATTGAAGAGTTTTCAATTTCCCACATCCCAATAAAAGATATCATCCAATGGGATAAAATATAAGCTGTGAAAGAATTACCTTAGCTGGCACAGTATGTAGAATAGACAATCTGTTTCACCTACCAAAGGTGGTGGTCTGAGACCGATGTTGTTCAAAATTTTGAATAACACTTGTCTTGGGACATGTAACAAACTGTCAAATTCAGATACTAGCCCCAACCAAATTTGGACTGTTGACCCCAATCAGGAGCAGCTTCACTGAAGTCAATGAATGAATGCATCTGATGAAGTGAGCTGTAGCTCACGAAAGCTTATGCTCAAATAAATTGGTTAGTCTCTAAGGTGCCACAAGTACTCCTTTTCTTTATGCTAGTGTAAATGGATGTAAGTAAGAATCAGACTCCTTCAGTGTTTGGATACTTATTCAGACTGCTTTGGTCTAGGAATCAGGTTGGGAATCGTTCTCATGAGATTTGTAGTGCTTTTTAGCTCTGGCTGAGTGGGAAGTACAGTACTATAAGAATAGCCCTTCACATGGTTTTTAGATACTTCTGCTTCTGCCCAAAATAAAAGAGATAAAGATGCATGAGAAAATGGAGGGAGCACTAGGGAATAAAATGAATCAAATTACTCTAAACCTCATGAAAGGTTTGGTTTGGAGGATAGGTAAACACGTAAATTTGTTTCTGTTAGAGAGAGAGAGATGAAGGTACAGAATAACTCTTATTTTATTCAAACCAGTTTGTCTGCAACTAGTGATAACCCAGGTGTGCTAATGAGCAAGTCTACATTTTTCCACTCATAAAGATACAATACCAACACACCAAGGGCCTGATTTACCTTGAACTAAAGTCAATCAATTGGGAGTCTTTCCACTGACTTCAGTGACATTGGATTAGGCCCCAAGTGAAATGGGGAAAATAAATTCTTATTTTGTACTTGTTTGTGAGGTTTCTCAGCTGCAAACATATTCTATGAAATAATAACAACAATACATTGCACCTGTATAGTGCACTTCATCCAAGGATCTTGAAGCACTCTACAAAAAATAACTGATGGATGAAGCCTTACAATATAACTGTGAGGAAGGAAAATACAATTATTACCATTTTACAAATACATAAAATGAAGGATGGAGGAGTGTGAGTTGCCCAAGGTCACATAGAAGTCAGTGGAATATCAATAAGAGACCCCAGTAGTCCTCCTTCCCCATTCTAACCCCCCCCTTAAAATACCACTTTTGAAATAACTGATTAAAAATTAGAACAAGTCAAAGAAGCACAGTTGACTGGAACCATTAATAAAGGAATGTAAAAATACAATTTTAATGATAATTAGGATTTACTGGATTATGAATCTCAGATGCACTAAATGTAAAAAACAAAACCTATTGTAGCTTTGGCTTACTCAATAAAAATAACAGGTTTTAATGCATCATTTTGTGTTTATCATCATACATGTGTCTTACTTTTGCTAGGGAAATATCAATTGCCTTTGATACTATTTCAAGTGTATACAGCGTTGAAAGTTCTGGGATCCTACTAACTTCCCCAGTGGTTGCTTCATCATCGAAATCAACTGAAAGAGAAGAAACCTTGTAATATGCAGAATGTTGTCTGGTAAACCAAATTCTGCCCTCCAATACCACCAAGTAACCCACTGCTAGTGGTTGATCATAATGACAGATGCAACTTTAATACCTCTGATCTTTAAAAAGTTACGAGTACGGTGCCACTCTGAAAAGTAATGATACAAATTAGATCATGAGAGCCACTGTTTCTTATGCCCCAATAATTTAGTATTAAATTTGTTCAAAGGTCAATTAAATGAAAGCGGTTTATTTGTTTGTTTAAATTTCCTAAGTGCTAGTTGCACTTTTTTGGCCTGGCATCTAAAAGTTAAACTGGGATTGAAGCAAGCACACAATCTTATCTAGGAAATTAAAACACAACTGTCTGCACCCTGAATCAACTAAGACTTGATCAAAAACAGACCATTATGCACATTGCTGTTAAGTTTTATTTGCTGTGAAAAATATGAGAGACAGACCAAAGCGAAGCATGACATGACATACCTAGTTCTAGGACATTTTTCATCTGGTCACTTTTATTGGATATGGATGATGGAGTCTTTCTAAATTAAAATGAATTAAAGAACAAATTACCAAAGGTTCACATTTAATGAAAAAGCAATATAGAAGATTAAGTTAAACAATGTATAAACCACCATACCTTATTAGGGCAAAATCAAATTTTTCACAGAAGTATATGGCATTCTATATAGTATATAGACAATCACTAAAGCCAGAATAGCAGTCTGCACATTGCAACATAATGCAATCAGTTTGTATCACTAAATGTAACTCCCCTGTGGATCAGATCCTGCAAGTTCATATGCATGGGCAGGACTACACCCTCATGGAATCTCAACTGACGTCTGTGGTGCTCTGCATGAGTACAATCTTTGGGTGCCCACAACTCAGCTTGCAGGATTGGGACCCATGGAGTGAAATTCACTCCTGCATGAGGCCTATGGACCACTTAAATCCAACTTAAATCCTTAAAATAAAATTTCAGTGGGATATAAATTGTGCTGGCTCACATACTGGCCTTGTTTGTGTCATCAACAAGTTAAATGTTTATAGAAATAAGTAAATGATGATCAAAGCTAATTTTTTCAAACTTGGCTGTGAAGTTAGACTCCTAAATATCAGTCGGATTTTCAGAGGTAGCACAGGCTTGTTGCTCCCACTGAATTCACACCAAAGGGTATACAGTCCGAGGAAAAGTTTCCTACTGTCGCTGTTAAAGAGGATTATTTTTTTTTCAAAATAATAACACTGAACCATTTTTCATCCATCTTTTGTTTGGAAAACAGTGTTGCAAATGACAGTCCTTTCAAAAACTGTATGGAATCACTTCCTCAGAAACACTCTTTCTATGCACATTATTATTATGGCAACAGTTGCAGCCATATCACATATTTTCCATTAACTTAATTTCCTTTTTTCACTATGTGAAAGAAGATGAATGAAAGCAGAACACACATGCACACCACACTCAGGACTTTTCCAGTCTGAAAACCTTCTGGCACCTTTTTCCTTTACAAGCCTTTCTAGAACTTAAAAGTAGGAACTACCATGCTGTTTTTCTTCACAAAAGCATTAAGGGATTGATTCAACTAAATCTGGCAGCACGCACAGAGTCACAACAAACAGACACTCTACAGCAGGAAATGAATCACCCATATTACTAGTAAGTCAAAGTAAAATAATTAATGTTCATGAGATCAGTCCTGAGATCTAAGTATGTGGGTTGAGAGCAAATATGCATAGCAACATACTAAAAGATTCTGAGCTACAGTGGAAAATAGCAGTACTTTTTACTACAGTGTATTTTAAAATACAGTTAGTAGTAGTGGTGGTATTTATTATGCATTAGAAGTGATAATCATGGACCAGAACCCCACTGTGCTGGGTGCTCTATAGAAACAGAACAAAACCACAGACCCTGTCCCAGTGAGATTACAATCAAAGGATAAGATGAGAGACCTCAGATGGATGCAGCGGGACAGGGGAGCACAAGGACACAATGAAACAGTATTGGTTAGCATGATGGGCAACGGTCTCAGCACACCAGCGGACTAACCACTGTCAAGTAAATTACAGTACATTCTAACAGATCTTACTAATATTGGTTTCCATCATTCTTTTCAGTTTATTTTTTTCTGCGTTACTTGCTAATATTTTCATACTTACTGGTCAGGTGGAGGGTCCCAATAAAATCAGTGTTTACGCACAGAATGTGTTTCAACGGAATACTGAAGTCACTGAACCACGCTTACAGCAATAACATGCTTTTTTATTTTTATTTCTGAGATTGCAACTATTCCACCTGGCTTCCTAGCAAGAATGTTTTTCCTTCCAAGGTCAAGCCCTTTGGGTCCAGTCTTACACATACAGTACCTCTGAAAGCTGAGATCACAATACAGATAGGGTTTGGATATAAAGGAAAGTTACAAAAAGTGTCATTTGGTGTACTTTTTGGTGAGCAAGTCATTGTTCCTATCTACATCAGCATTGTTTACACTTAAAAGAGTGTGTGTGTGTCACCAAAATAAGCCACTCAACCCCGTTTACATTACATTGCACTTCACCATGTCCCAGGTCGAAGATTTGATCATGAATTGAGCCACAAAGGTAACAGGCTATATTACAGAGATTACAGACTAGGATTATTGGAGATGATGACTGCCAAATGCTGCCAATGGCAGTCTGAAATGGAAGGATAGGGTTTACTGGTCATGTTCTATCCCCCTTTAGAAGGAGCCTATCATGCATTCTTGCATCAGCATTTACATTCTATCTCTCTCTATATATAGTTTTTATGGGCTCTACAACCATAGTATCTGTGCTCCACACAAACATTAATAAATTTATCCTCTTTAAAATACTCTAAAGGTATGGAAGTATTATTATCCCTATTTTTATAGATGGGAAACTGAAACACAGAAGAGTTAAGTGACTTGCCCAAGGCCACACAAGGTGTGTGTGGCAGAACTAGAAATTGAACCCAGATCTCCATCCATGGTCTTAACTACAAGACCATCCTTCCATCTGGGCTCTTATAATGTGCCCAATCACCTTAGTATCTGACTGCCTTTTGAAACAGAAAGGACTAGAAACAGGTTAAATTAATATTCTGACTCTTTCCTCTCCCAAACTCCTCTTCTCCCAAAAAATCCCCAACCTGAAAGCAATTGCAAATGAAAAAATACATAGACCCACCACTGAAAGAACTGAAAGAAAGTCTAAATGGATGATCTCAGAGAACTTCCAAGGCGTATATCACTGGGGAAAGCACCAAAAGCACAGATCCACGTAGGATGTTTTCCTGCACAGAAGGGTATTTTTGCAGGTGGAGATTATTTGTGAGCTCCCTTCTTAAGTTACTTGAAACTTCGTCAGAACTTTTACTGTTATTTCCACTTCAACAGATGGCCACTATTCCAGGAACATTTATTGTGCATATAATATCATACAATTAAAGCGCTTTGCAAGGAGGAAGTCATCCGTCATGTCAGAAAAATGAGGCAGGAAGAAAATATGTATTATAAATATACCATACTGTACTTTCTCCAAATATTTGAACATTCCTATCTCATCTCCATGCATAGAAAACGTTGTTTACATAGGATAACCAAACTCAGAGAAAGTTCTTCCCTCTGCACAATAAGGCATGTGTCCTCTATGGTTTCCTATTTATATTAACCTATGCTGGAGGTCAAAGAAACAAACGTGCTTATAAAATAAGCAATGGTCACCAGCTAGTTCAGAATAACTAACTGTGTTGGAAAACCATAGTTTCCTTGTCAATTTAACGCATTCTGCAGCTCTTGCACGGTACTTACATCTTGCCTCTGAAATAACGTAGAGATTCAGAAGAATTCCTACAGGTTCTGAAACAATCCTAGGGTTGTATACTGTTCTGTTGCTGTACACACAGTACAATAGAAGTATACAGCCCTCATTCCATTCTTGTGATACTGGAGACTGGAGCCCATAGAGCTAGCTTGCCTTTATTATATTCACTGCCTTGCCGTCATTATATTTATCTGTTTTCGTTATATTCAGCTATAACGCAAGAAACTTAAAAAGAACAAGAGTACTTGTGGCACCTTAGAGACTAACAAATTTATTTGAGCATAAGCTTTCGTGGGCTAAAGCCCACTTCATCGGATGCATAGAATGGAACATATAGTAAGAAGATATCTATATACATACATACAATACCCTGTAAGACATTAGATGAAATGTGAGTTAGCATAAGTGTTGTTAAATAGGCCATAACCCATGGCATAGATCAACTGTTACCTTTAGATTTTAGGAACTAGGGAGACCTTGCTCAATAGTAGGAAGTAGAATGTTCCAGTAAGTGCCACCACAAGGAACATAGAAGTAATAACCCAACATCTGCTTAAGCAAGGGGTGATGGGTATGATCATGAGTTGACATGGTAGTACATGTAGCAATATACTAACCGATGAAGTGAGCTGTAGCTCACGAAAGCTCATGCTCAAATAAATTGGTTAGTCTCTAAGGTGCCACAAGTACTCCTTTTCTTTCAGCATTAGTAGGATGAGAAAATACAAATAAGGAAAAGGGGAGAACCTCTTACTGAGTATGCATTAGATATAGTGGTGTCAGCGCAATATATCATAAAAGTCGCATCCCAGCCTGACGCGGTAGAAGAGAGAGAGAAATGTGGCCCTTGGAAGGAACCAGAATGATGGCCACTCGTGATGAGGAGGAAGGTGATGATGAGGAGGAAGATAATGGCTAACATTTCAGGTCATCCTGCAAGGCATGGTGTGAGTATATGGATGTGTAGAGGTACATTCTATAGTCTCTCTATCTACCTTATTGAGTTAGAGTGCTTGTGACCTTGCTAAAAGTATTAATAAAATATTTGGAAATACAGAAGAGTTCCTATAGTGTGAGTGTTGCAACTGTGCACATTGGGGTTCCCAACTATCTAGTAATTTTATAAAACTGGGTCTGATCTTGGGACAAGAACCTGTCACCCCTCAAAGGGATAACTGGAAATTCTTAAGTAATCAATACAATTATATATTCAATATTATATTATTACATTGGGCTAGAAGACATTCCAGAGGACTGGGAAAAAAACTAATGTATTTTGTGCCAATATTTTTAAAAGGTAAATGGGATGACCCATGTATATATAGGCTGGTGAGAGTGACATTGATTCTGGGAAAAATCATGGAAAGACTTATACAGGATGCAATCAGTAAAGAGCTAAAGGGTGGCAGCATAATTAATGCCAGTCAATATGGTTTTATGGAAAACAAGTCTGGTCAGATAAACTCAATATAGTTTTTTTATGAAATTGCAAGTTTTGGTGACAATGATAACTCTGTTAACATAATATACTTCTGAAAATCATCGGATTGAGTATAGCATGAAATTCTGATTCAAAATTAGCACCATACAAAATCATCATAGCACAGGTTAAATTGATTAAAACAGGCTAACTGATAAATCTCAAAAGTAATTGTAAATGGGGAGTCATCATCTAATGGGGCATTTCTAGTGGTATACCACAGGGATCTGT